TTGCGTTGTCATCCTGGAAGATGAAACGGCGGCCATGACGTCGTGCGAACGGCACAACATGGACTGCCAAGATGTTGTCCCGGTAGTACTGGCCTGTAACACGCCCTGCAACAACATGTAAAGCCGTTCTTCCAGCAACAGTGATGCCTCCCCACACCATAACAGAACCACCCCAAATCGATCATGTCTGATGACGTTAACGTCTTGGAAGCGCTCGTTTCGACGACGCCACACCCTCCTACGTCTGTCCAAAAAATCAACAGTGAACCTTGACTCATCTGAAAACATCACATTGCTCCAGCGTCGATTATCCCAGTGTTGACGATCCCTACACCAACGACGTTTTGCCTGAATGTGATGATCTCTCAAACAAGGGATCACGCGAGGACGTCGGGCGCGAAGGTGACCCCTATGCAGTCGATTCCGAATCGTCTGGCCACTCACTCTCACACCAGTGTCTGTTTGAAGACGAGCGCTGATCTGATTTGCTGTGATGACACGATTTCTCAAGGCCAAGGTACGGATAAATCGATCCTGGGCTTGAGTTGTCGCCCTTGGTCGACCTGAGCGTGGTCTGTCCTGTACATATTGTGTATCACGGTATCTGGACCATAGCCTGCTTATGACAGACTGAGAAACATTCATCGTCCGCGCCACAACCGCCTGTGTTGTGCCGATCTGTAGCATGCCAAGGGCACGTAACCTTTCATTTTGGGTAAGCCGACGCATATCAAAATTTGTTTTCTGGTCACTAAAACAATTAAACTGATGTTTCCACCCTGGAATTCAATGCCACAATGACTGTAACATTCAAAGTCAGAGTCGTGCAAATCTTGGGTTGGACCCCCATGATGATCCCAAGCATCACCTGCATTCCATGCGGTAGCTATTGGTGCGTTTGGGCGTCACATGTAACTTAAAATGTTTCTTCTGTTAGGTTCTATAGTGACTTTTTTCGTAGTCATTTGCATATTTTAGTATTATGCCCCCAAAATCAAATATCCCCTACTTTTTTTGAATAGTATATATATATATTAGTAAGTGCAGGGGGACTGCACCACACAAGATAAGATAAGATAAGATTTTTATTGATACATCATAAACAGATAAAAGCAACATCAATATGCATTTCACGTATATGAACTTAACATTTAATAATTAAATAGTCTCATCTATACTACACTACACACTGGGATTGTCACATCTGGTCATGACGAATCAAGGATGACATCAAAAGCACACATTATGTGTTACGCTTATTTCCGTGATGGTCCTGGGAAATGTCATGATCACATGACAAGCTGCAGCACATTTATACATACATACTGAAAGACAATGACATGAAATCGGTATTTTTCAGAAGAGGTTATAATATAACCATAAGTTCTAGAAGTATACAAACTCGGAAGAACTGCTTTTAACTAAGTTTTCGAATAAAAAAGCTCTTATTGCTTTTTTTAAACTTTACTATTTGGTCAATACATATGATATTATAAGGAAGACTGTTCCAAAGCTTCAGACCAGTATAGTGAAACGTTTTTTTACCCTGAGATTCAACATTAGTTACCTTTATTGACAACTGACTGGATCTAGTAAAGTGTTTATGAACATCATTAGTGAACATTAATTTGTCTGTCAAGTACTTAGGGGCCAGCCCATTTACTGTACGATAAAAGTGATTTAATTTTATTTGATATACCCTTAAATAGACCGGTAGCCAGTCAACTTCGAGGAATTCATCATACCCAACATGGGAACGATTACTTAAATTTAAAACAAATCTTAAGAGCTTATTTTTAATGTTGACTGCAACTTCTTTGTTATTTCTGATAGACTAGAGTACCAGAAAGAACAGGCATAATCAAAGTGACATTGGATTAACGCAGTAATTAGTAATTTCTTAGTATGTAATGACACAAATTTACTCTTTCTATACAGGAATTTTAGTTTACAGTTAGCTTTTTTAATAACCTTTCTGCCCATTTCCTCCCCAGAGAGTGACTGGTCTATTTCCGCTCCCAAATACTTTACGGATGCGGTTGATGCAATATCAGTGTTATTGCAGACTACCTTTATACCAGAATGTTTCTTTAGTTTTGATTTAGTACCAAAAAGAATGGACTCAGTCTTGCCTAAATGTAGTGATAGTTTATTATCACATAACCACTGACTGAGTTTTGAAAGGTTGCTACTAAGTTTATTTTCAATTTCCTCTATGTTTCTACTTGAAACAATTAGGGCCGAATCATCCGCATATAACAGCAGTCTACAAGACACGGACGCTTGCATATCATTAACATACAAGAGGAATAAAAGGGGTCCAAGTATTGACCCTTGGGGCACCCCACATGATATATCAGAGTAACTAGAATGAATACCATTTACATCAACCGTCTGGCACCTACCAGTTAAGTAAGAGTGAAACCATCCAACTGACATTCTGTCCATACCCATTGCTACTAGTTTATCTATTAGAATGGAATGATCAAAAGTATCAAAGGCTTTTTGCAAATCGATCAGAACAACTCCCGTGTAATTGCCATTATCCATTTGTTGCCTGATATAGTCTGTCAAGTATATAAGAGTAGTGTCAGTCGAGTACCCCGGCCTAAATCCAGATGGTTTTCAAACAGGAGATTTTTTTTTATTAAATAGGACTCCACTTGTTCATAGACAACCCTTTCTAGTACTTTTGACACGACATTCAAAATTGACACAGGTCTATAATTACCAGGTGTTGTTTTATCACTTTTTTTATACAGAGGGACAACACGGGCAGATTTCAGATCATCGGGTACATTGCCTGTTTGTATGGACAAGTTTATTATGTAAGTGATTGGTTTCACAATTGACATTACACTATCCTTTAAAAAATTTGCAGGAAGGCAGTCAAGACCTGTTGCTTTTTTAGGATTTAGATCAATTAACAATTTTGAGATTTTCTCTTCAGAGACACTATCCAAGGAGAACTCAGATTGCTGAACATCTTTGTTTTTGTAAAAATTATTGAAGAACTTAGAGTTGTATATGTCAGGACCTATAGGCAATTTTGAGACCAAAGAAGATGCCACAGTGGTAAAATGCGAATTAAAACATTCGGCAACCGACTTGTTGTCAAAAATTAGATCTTCATTTATCTTCAAGCCCATAGTGCTTGATGGTACCCCTGACTTTTTAGAAGGTGTGCCAAGTTTCTTTAAAGCCCCCCACATACCCTTTGGGTTGTTTTTATTTTCGTCTATCTTTTGTTTGAAATAAGAGGATTTGGCCTGTTTTATCAATTTTTGTACTTTGTTTCGCAAATTTTTAAATTCAACAAAATCTGAGCTGTCCTTGGATTTTTGATGTCTTTTCAGAGCTTTATCTCTATCATGAATATATTTTAGAAAATCATTAGTGATATAGACCTCAGGTCACAAAATTTACACAAAAACAAATACACGGACGGGACATCATACTCAGGAAAACACAAACATACAGACAATTCAAAAAAAGTTAATGGATCCGGGGGCTAGCCGTAAACCTCCACTGCAATCTTGTAAAAAAAATGGGGCGTATCTTGCCTGGCAACCGCTTGTTCTCTGATTGTATTGACGCTGCAGTAAACCGCCCCTGTTGAAATAAATAAGGCTTCTATCATGAATGATTTGAGCACAAAAACTATATCCTCGCCTCGGTGTCATCTAGCAGATACAAGAAAGTGTTTTCGATTATCTCAAAACATAAAAATGAGTTGAGCACATGTGTTATGACCGTGACAACATGCAACACACCGTGCCCCCTCCCCTTAATCGTTTCTCAACAAGAGGGGACCAAGGCCGTAACTAGCTCAGGGCAACAAGGGGGGGGGGGAAGTTTTCTCAGGGGTGTTGTAATATTGACGGACAATGTATATCTATTTTTTATGGTCGAAAATTTTTTCACAGGGGGGGGGGGGGGCGAAACTTTTTGCAGGGCGGAAGCCCCCCCCCCCCCAGTTACGGGCCTGGAGGGGACATGGCATTTATTTTCGACACCAGATCGCCCGTGCCGATACGAAGCTACCGTCAAAAGTAGCGACGGGGAGTATTAAGTATTTAAATCCGAATAACTATGCCGATCGCGGGGTCTTAATTCCCCCCCCCCCACACACACACACCCTCCGCAGCGAATTTGCCATGCAGTGTCTGACCCATCAATTGGCGATGGTCGCGACTTATCTACCACGGTTTTGATGGTGAAAACCAGACCAGGTAACAACCGGGAAGCTTTTCCGCCCTTTCTTCTTTGGACTACGGTCTTCAGATTTCATCTGTACATTTGTATTCACATTTTTTATCAGTAAGTAAATTTTGTTTGTTTTCGCAAAATATTGTCAGTTTTGCGTTGTCTTTATTTATTAGTAGCCTACCGGTAATTAAATTTTCTTTATCTTTGTAAAATGGTTGTTTTTTGTTTTTATTTTATCATGTAGGAATCCTAAAACCTAGGGATCCATTTATCTTTTTTGACTTGATATTTCGCCTTAAGTCAGTATTATGTTTTTCAAAATTTTCAGTTAACCAAATTATTTCCCTTACCTTTTTGGTATGTGTAGCCTATCAGGTTTGGGGGCTGGGGAAGGCGCTTTTCACCGTTTACCGTTTTATTAAATTACCTTACACGCGCCTTTTTGGGGCTTGGAGTTGTGTATCGACAAAGCCGTGGATAAATTTCACAAACAGTTCAGTTCTACAACTAAATCATAACATGAGATAAAAAAAATTATATATGGGATTTTAAAAGGAATTGACTCATAAAAAAAGCACTTGCTCAAAGGGAGATAATCTAACATTGACTTTAATTAATGTCATGTAGGCCGAGACTACAGTTGTCATAGAGACGAACCAAGGGGGTAATCGAAGAAAATATATTTTGAAACATGATACTGAAACTAAATATTTTACAAATCACATATTTTTTGAAAATATTTAGAGTGTAGAGATAATTGAAACGGAAATTGCGTGCCACAAGATACTAAAGCTATAAACTTGAATAATATAATGCAAAAGATATTATGCAACATTAACTGGTCCCTCATAATATCGCTCGCGCAACCAACTAGCGTCACCGGATGTAAACAAACGCACATGTCAACAAAATAGCAAGTTTTGACAGAAATTTATTGTGTTCCTCTTTACAAATCTTTATCTGGCGAAATATTTACTTCCCTTTTCGGGATTATGCCAACTGCCGATTTCTTACATTTATTTTCGTTGTGGATTTGATAGTTATTATAGGTGGCAGATTCAGTTTATTATTCTACATAGTTGAGTGAAAGTTTTGACACTGATTTCATAGTTTTGACACTGACTAAAATAGTAAGTGCAGGAGGACAGTATAAACTATTATAAAGATGGATATGTCATCATTGTCAACTATAGGAGCTTTATGCGATCTGTTAAAACCAGAAGATCAAGATTCTGACAGTGATGAAGATAAGGTAGATATTTTTTTTAAAAAAATGAAGAAATGTTATAAATTTAAATAATGAAAATCACATATTGACATATTTTATTGTTGATATATAATATAATATATGACTATAATAATAGTAGATCTAATAATAATAATAAATATTGTATCGATCGACAATCCGTTAATTTTAAGTGGCATATATTCCCATGGGCATCAAGGGTCTGGATTTCTATATGGGACGTTTCTTAAACTAACCAGTATGTATGGTAATCCATACATGGGGTTTAACATCAAACCCGACAAAACCAGAATGTAAATTCAAATTTGTGTGGCCTTAGATTAGCATGAATTAATAGCAAGCTATTAGCCTTTAGTATATCCAGTTTATATAATCTATGGTTGTTAAATGGAATCTATACCCATTCCTACCTTGTTAAAGAATACTTCTATTTTAATCATTATTATCAGTTGAGAAATTGTCAAATATATAGTTTTGAAATTGAAGCATTAACATTGATCTTTGTCAGTTCCAAAGAATACAAGGGAGACAGTTTTGCTATTATTTCTGGTGTTATTATTAAACATACATTATGCAAGAGCTAAATCTGATTATTGCAAGTCTTTATTTAGGCTTCAGATGTCATAGAAATTATAAATTAGATCTTTATTTACACAATAAGCACAAAATCAACTCTGTAGACCCACGGATGGCTTGGATTCGGCTTGGATTTAAACAGAATTTCGTTGATTGATTAAATTTTTAAATGGCGTCGTAAGCGGAGATTTACCATTACGTTAACGTCATACTCCCGGAAATAATTTTAGATCAAGGCTAAATGATAGATTGTATGAAGGGAGACCGCTGTTGAGCGAGGCCGCATGTCAGTCAATTTGATTGAAAGTTCGATATACATGTATACGGCCTTGATATTATGTTTAGTTGCGGTTAAAATGAGAGTTTTCGATGTCGGTATTATAGGCAACGCTCTTTTGTCACTTGCATTTACAGAAAAATTATAAAACATCGCAGCTAACATCACCGCCAGTTGAATTGCAGCTCCATTGGATCACAGTTCGGGAGTTACGCAGGCCTACCAGTTACAGTACAAGAGTACACGCAGGCTAACGATATGACTCATTGATTTGGTCCATTCCTTTAAAACTTTCGCTTCTTATCTATATATTAAAAGTCTTATTTTTAATTTGTAGTAAAAATAAATGTGATACGAATTGAATTGCAACCCCGTCTCAAACCACAGCCGTTGAAAACGTTACTTGATAATCAAGATTATGTAGGTGGAGTAAACGCCTGTCAATCAAACGATCGTCTATTCTCGGAGACGGTGAAGAGAGAATTGACTCCCATTTCTAGTCAAAAATTACAATAGTGATAACTTTGTTCAGAATAAAGTAATTTGACTGAAATTTTCAATATATCCTTCTTTTATCATCTATTTTTGAACTGTTATAGCAAGAATGGTCAACTCTCGATTAAAATCTCCCATAATGTATCTTTAATTTAAGTGCTAAAATGAGTATGATTGTATAATAGTGATTTGCCAACCTATCAGTATTAAACAATGATCTAAAAGCAAATAGGTTTTGACTCTCTCAGAAAATATGCAAATACTGCTTAAATAGTGTGACTGTTTTTCTTGTAGCCAACATCGTCAATGGGAAGACTAGGACCTGGTAATATTGGGAACACCACATCGAACACCACATCTAAATCATCACAAAATACACACAGTAAGTACAATCTGTAGTTTCACAGACAAACTCCTCGGCTTTATTAAATTATGAACTTAATTAGCTTGTTATATAAAAGAATTGCATGTCTGTGGTCAGCTTATAACTGACCTCTATCTTGATGTTTTTATATTTAAATAAATTTGTTGATTTGTATGTTTGTGGATGTGTTACTTTTATAACTTATATAAGCTTCTCAATTTATTACTGTTATAAACTTGTGTGTATCTGTATTAAACATAAATTTGTTACTGTATCATGGATACAGTCCATGACTGTATTAAGCTTGCCTATTTGTTACTGTATTAAGCTGGTCTATTTGTTACTTTATAAGCTTGTCTATTTGTTGGTGTATTAAAGGGGCATCATGGGAGATAAAATAAAGAGCTGACAGTTCTCGCTATAATAGTTAAGAAATAGAGAACGTAAAGAGAATATGCTGAAAATTTCAGTCAAATTGCTTCACTCTGAACCAAGATATTAGCCATTCAATTTTTAGGCTAGCCTCGTTCAACATTACTAACGTCGGTACGATAATAGACAAAGTCTCGATTATCCATTTTTACGTTAAATTATCCATCACAAAAAGTATTCAAATCCACTAAATATCACAGGCTAACAATGGCATCGAGAGTTGATTATGGTCTGGATAAGTTAATTAATGTTTAATTACGGTAATAATTTAGATAACATTTCAGGCCTAAAGGCAGATTTAGCTCTTGAATATTGCATGTTTAAACTTGTCTGGTTGTTACTTAAATACACTTGACTATTTGTTACTTTAATAAGCTTGACTATTTGTTACTTTGATATGTTTGATTATTTGTTACTTTGATAAGCTTGATTATTTGTTACTTTGATAAGTTTGTTTGTAATATATATAATACAGTTTATATAATAGTATTTACATGCATTGTAAATTCCTCATTACATTAAATTATGTTTATATAATTGTATATTTGATTCAGAAAATAAATCTACAAACAGTAAAGATATTTGGGACGAGGATGAAATACCTGATGGTGCAGAATATGAATCAACTTATGACCCTCGACCACAACCAGAGTAAGTACAACTTTTTTAATTTTAAAACAGCCGTATTAATACAATTTAGATAGAACCATATTAAAATACAATTTAGATACCACCATGCTAAATACAATTTAGATACCACCATGCTAAATACAATTTAGATACAACCATATTAAAAACAATTTAAATACAACCATATTAATTGAAATATATAACCATATTAAATAAAATCTTATTAAATACAACCATATTAATTTAAATACAACCATATTGATATACAACCATATTAATTTAAATACAACCATATTAATTTAACTGCAATCAGTGTGCTATGAGGGAAATTTTGACCAAACAGCGGTGCTGCAGCCAACTGGGTTCTTATATACACATTACCTCAGGGTTTTTTTGCACCATCTGAACCAAGCCAAAAATTCGGCCAACACCGGGATTGAATACAGGATCTCCAGGTTTGGAAGCCAACTTTGTACTCATAATAGCAATTTTGTTATATATTTTAATGACCAGGTATGAGATACTGTATAAACAAGCTGTCACACCAGAAGATATGTTTCTACAGATGGGAAATAAAACCAACGCTACATCATCATGTGAAGACATGGTCGTAAGTTTCTATTTCTATTTTTTTTTGGGGGGGGGGGGTGTCTAAATAGATCAACGCGTGTGCGTTATATCATAAGGTCTGTTATTGAGTCTAGTGTGGTCATTAAACAGAAAGGTCGGTCATTCTCTGTGGCATGGGTTTCCTTGGCACACAAGTTAACTAAAATATACGATATGTCAGTCCCAATATGCCCTAGTTTTTTACCAGACCCTGAGTTCATAGTTTTGAAAATTCTTAATTTGGAGCTTAAAAACTTGTTGAGCAAATTCTGAAGTATTTAATATTTAACACATGACACAATTATTTGGAATAAAAGTTACTTAAAAATTAATTTCTGGCGACGTGTCGACAAGGGTTCTCGTCTTCATCGTTCTGTGCCAGTAAACTAGTAAGTAACTTGCATTCCATGTACTGTGTTATGGTTTATTCCATATAATTGTTTCATGTGTAATTCTCATTCAGTTACTAAATGCTGCTTAAGACATTTATTTAACATTTGTGTATTCCGTTATTTTTGTGCTTTAAGTTTGTCTCATTATTTGTTTTCAATGCTACAAGCAACCAAAGTAAACCCAATGAAATCACTTGGAATAGAATCTTTTGAAACATCTAAACGATGTCATATAGTGGCCATTTTGTTTCACTCCCTTTTTACTTAGGCTTAATCATGTTTTTTATTTAATATTTGAACAGATAATAATTAAATTACCTGATACTAAAATGGTCGATGTTGATTTGGATGTTAAGCCCAAATTTTTAGACTGTAGATCGCCAAAATAGTAAGTACCATTATTAATGAGCACAGGTTCTGTCCTACTGTTCCACTGCCGATCGCCAGGGAAATGTCAGTCATTTAAAGGACAATATTGGTGTCAGTCATTATAATATATGTGATAGAGCTCGTTAAATACATCCCAAATATAATTTTAACACAGAGATCATTGCTACGGGCGACTTGTAACAAGCACGTGAAGAAACGGGAAGTGACGTCAAACATGACAAACATGAGTTGTCCTTCTATATAACTGACTGAAGTAACGAGCGGTAACAGACAAACGATCGAATTTCATTCACTGATAATTCCGTTGAAGATGAAAAGTTGTTATATGAGACGATGAGAGGATATCTGACAATTCAAAAAAAAATTGGCTGTCAGTAGATAAAAGATAACAAACAAATTAGTAAAAGTCTGTGCATAAACATGTTTTTATTAAGAACAGAATGAATAAAAACGGGGGAATGCACAGAATTTTTCTACTTTTTCTCGTGTCCCTTATCTAGTGACAGCCAATTCTATTTTTGAATTGTGAGATACCCTCTCACCGTCCCGTATAATAACTTTTCAACTTCAACGGAATTATCAGTGAAATGAAATTCCATCGTTTGTCTGTTACCGCTCATTACTTCAGTCTGTTATATAGAAGGACAACTTGTGTTTGTCATGTTTGGCGTCACTTCCAGTTTCTTCACGTGCTTGTTACAAGTCTCTCGTAGCAATGATCTCTGTGTTAAAATTATATTTGGAATGTATTTAACCAGTTCTATCACATATGTAATAATGACTGACACCAATATTGTCCTTTAAGCACACAATTTGCCAGGGAGTTACTGTGACTCAGTGAGTGATACAATGTAGTTCCTTTAACTACTTTTATAATTTGTTATAATTTCAGTCTTTAAACCACCCTTTTTAGAACTTTTTTGCCCATCATAGTTAGCTTGTTATAATTGAGTTCATTTAACTACTTTTCATAGCTAGCTTGTTATAATTGAGTTGACTGCTTTTATCCTTCATAACTAGCTTGTTATAATTGCGTTCATTAACTACTTTTACCCTTCATCCCATAGCTAGCTTGTTATAATTCATTAATTGAGTTCATTAACTACTTTTATCCTTCATAGCTAGGTTGTTATAATTGAGTTCATTAATTACTTTGCCCCTTCAAAGCTAGCTTGTTATAATTGAGTTCATTAATTTTACCCTTCAAAGCTAGCTTGTTATAATTGAGTTCATTAACTACTTTTACCGTTCAAAGCTAGCTTGTTATAATTGAGTTCATTAATTTTACCCTTCAAAGCTAGCTTGTTATAATTGAGTTCATTAACTACTTTTACCCTTCAAAGCTAGCTTGTTATAATTTAGTTCATTAAACTACTTTTATAATTTGTTATAATTTCAGTAAATTAGGATTACATCTGCCTCATCCGGTTGATGATAAAAATGGAAAAGCTGAGTGGGATAAAACCAAAGAAACATTAAAAGTGACTTTAACCATGAGAAGAGAATATGATTTTGTGAACATGTGAACAGTGTTTTAAAAAGATGAATGATGGAATAAACATTGGTGCTGCTAACCCCTGTGTTCTCCGGATATCATAAAATGTTGTTGAATGTAATTTGTTTATTGTTTTAAAATAGAAATTTAAATATTAGGTATTTTATATAATTTTGTTTTATATATGAGTTATATATTAAATATGCCATTATGTTCAGCGGATGATGGGTTTTCTTGTTAAGCCACATTAAATATGTATTTTTGATTGATTATTTTATAATAGTCAAGAACACAAAATAAAAATACAAATGCTAGATAATCTCCAAGCTTTGATTCAGTTAGATTTGAAACAGGCTGCAGCACTATTATGTGGGCGAACAAAAATGGCAGATGGTTTATTACGTAGCGAGCAGCATAGATCGATGAAAATTCAATTCAACATATCTTTGTAAATACTGAATGGAGGGGAGGGCATTCAAAGCACCAGATAATGATATAGACACATGTGATATTACAATCACTGCTTTACATCAATAAAATTGAATCACAATGTGATCCTATTAATTCAAAATAGAAATTGACATCAAACGGGGTGTTGGATTCCTGTCTTTAAAAAGCTCAGTGTGTATGTATACCTACGTAAATTTGGAGACGACGATGGGATCATGATCATGCATTGTCAACTGTCAAATTTCCTTTTACAGGAACCTGGCAAACCCCCTCCTGCATAAATTCCTAGATATGCCCCTGGTAACCACAAGGTCCCTGGTTCGATCACTGTGTTTGCCGAGAAAGTTCCTCAGGTTTTCCAGTCTGGTTTCTCCTTTGTCAGTGGTGTGGGATTGAGGCACAACATCTAATTGTTGGGATGGGACAAAAAGTCATGGTTCCATGTACACATTGGCGTTCACCTTTAAAAAAAACCACTTGGCATCTGGAATTCAATGAAGAGTATCGTAGACGGAAATACCACTGTCTGCTTAACAATTCACTCATGGCACACTTCATGGTTTAAACCTGTCTTTTTTGGCTTGGTTGGTGATGTCTGAATAACAATTCCCTCATTGCACACTACATGGCTTATACTACATGCTTTGCATGCACCGCTCCCCCACCCACCCGCCTCTAGATCTGCCCCTGGATATGTGTTTGATACAGGTTGGTGTTTTTATTTATAGTTCAAATTTTGTTTCATGACAGTAGAATCAGGGAGGAGTTATAAATAAACAGCATTCTTATTGAAATAAGAGATTAGACAGAGAAAGACAAGGTGTGCACAGAAAAACTAAGACATTTCCTATTTACAATTATTTTTATTTCAACTTATTTTCCACAATGATAAACCAACAAATGTTTCAAGCGTATTATGTGTATAATATCATGTTTCAATGAATTTAAACATTGCTATTAGTTAAATTAACATAATGAATTTTAACATACCTATTGGTCAAATTAACATAATAAATTTTAACATAGCTACTAGTCAAATTAACATAATGAATTTTAACATAGCTATTAGTCAAATTAACATAATGAATTTAAACATTGCTATTAAGTCATATCAGCATAATGAAATTTAACATTGCTATTACCGGTAAGTCAAATTAACATAATGATTTTAAACATAGCAATCAGTCAAATTACCATAATAAATTTTAAGCATAGCAATCAGTCAAATCACACAATGAATTTTAATTTAGCTTTTAGTGAAATTAATATAATGATTTTCTACAGTCAAAATAACATAATGAATTTTAACATAGCTATTATTGATATTTTAAAACAAATTTTGGCCTAATCAAGCTTGGAAATAAGGCATCTGTTACAGACATTTCAAGACAAAAATTTGTCTTTTTTCTGTGTTTTTATCAATATCCAGTTTATACAACAAAAACTGTCACTTCAAGGACCCTTATCTAAGTAACATAATGAAGTTAACCAGTCATTTGGTATAAAGCTAAATACTTAAAGATGCAGTATGTAATGCTAGGTTCCCACTGTCATGTGATGCATTGCGGTAGGATTGTCCCTATTGAGTCCACGATATGTTACATGCAGATATGTTTTGATGCGATCAACATGACTGCTACGACTGACCTTAATATATGATAAGACCTGATAAGATCACCACAATTACTCCACGATTACATTCATAGCATGAATCATGGTAGTGGGATCCTAGCATAAGAGCTAATTCTGCTTATTGCAGGTCTTAATTATTTTGACTTCAAATAAGTTCAAATGTTATATATAAACTATTATTTAGACATTTATTCACATGACAAGCCTTTAATGAATTCTCTAGATCATCAGATGGCCGAGAATTAAATGTATTTGAACACTGCAAGATTTAAAAATTTAACGATAAAATGGATAGTCTAGATTGTCAAGTACAGTTGCTACATCTTGTCAAAAGTTCAGACACTCATAACTTCACTCAGAATAAAGTAATTTAAACAAAATTTTCAATATATTCATTTTTCATTATCCATTTTTGAACAATTATTGTAAGAAGGTCAAGCTCTTTATCTAAATCTTACATAATGCATCTTTAATCAGTGATCTCTTTGCGAAATGGGTCAAAATGGTGATCATTGATTTAATCAAGCTCACAGAACAAATGAACACATTACAATTAACATTCTTCTGGAGCATTTAAGTTTTAATGAAGAAGACTGTAAATATGTAATATTTCCTCCTATACATACATCAATACTCTTCTATAATACTCTGTGTTTGAACTGCTTTCACACAATATTTATGCCATTTTAAAATTACTAATTTTACTTTGAGCAGGTGCAAGGATCTTGCGAGCTACAGAGTTTTTTTTATCTCTATACAGAGAATATACAAATTCTACCAGAAAAATATTTCATAAATGGAGAAGGAGAGAAATGGGGTTTAATGTCTGCTCGACACAAATTATTTCTTTCGAGACTAACATATGGCACAATTTTAATTCAATAATTAGTTTACACGTAGGGGTCTTTATCAGTTGGGGGGGGGGGGTACAGGAGGATCCACCAGAGAAAACCCCTGAGATTAGGCAGGCAACCCTACTCCTTGCCACGTACAGTGTGGGATCGAAACTTGATGATTCAACGACAGACTTTATGTTTTAAAGCATACATTAGACCAATCAGCCACTCCAACACCACAAAAAAAGAATGAAATGGAAGAACTTTTATTTATACTCAGGTGTAACAATATTGAAGACATTTCAGATCATTATTCAAATTTTGGTGTACAAATATAGCCATTGGTGTAAAAATGTCACTTCTGATATACAAATAACAAAATTAATAATCATATCATAACACAGTGATTCCAACCAAGTGGCAGTTGTTAAGAATCAAAAGCTTAAGTCTGAGCTGAAATGTCGTCCATATAATATTATTAAGGTTCCTTCTGGAGTATTTAAAGAATAAAATAACAAAACTTAAAAACAATTAATACATAAATACAAGAAAGAAAAAAAAAAACCCAAAACACATTATCTTTTTCAAATGTTCTTATAAAATATTACTTCAAATTAGCATTTCAATAATTTCTACACAATGTTTTTTTTTGTGTTTTTATTTTCTCATTGAAGTCACTAGGGTTAATGGAAATTTTTGGTCGATGATAAACACTGCACAGCGAGGCACTGAATTTAACCAACAGGGATTGCGTATGTGAATCCCTACACAGCAAGTTTCTGGAGTTAAGGAAAAGGTTGGTCAGGTGAAACTAGTCAATGGGGTTAACAATAAGGTCTGACCTGTACAGCAAGTCACTGCGTTATGGAAACATTTGGCCGCTGTATATCCCCCCACTCAGATAATTGCTGTTAACTTTATTCAGTGGCATCACAAACACTGAACAGTCTTTAAGACCAAATTTTATTCAGTTTATTAAGGAATAACAATGTGTCTTGACTTCGCCCTAATAAAACTTTAAATACTATCAGCTCTAGGTTTTCAAAATAGAAAAAGATTTCTCACTCACAATAAGATAGCAGAGAATAAATGCACCATAAAATATAACACAAATATTTTATCGAATAGGAACACACAGAGCCAAGAAATATAAAACTAAAAATTTAATTCATCAATACATGCATACAACAGCTGATCGTCATTCCCATCCATTTTTCGGATAACATCAAATTTTTCACAGATTAATCCATGCTAAAATGTTGTATTTAACATTTAATTAAAAATACATTATGTAAGAGCTAAATCAGCCTACTGCAGGTCTTTCTTTACACCTTAAATGTTATATAAATCATTAATTAGACATTTATTTACATGACAAGACCATAATCAACTTTTGATGGCAGCAGATGACTCTGATTTTAAGTAGACTAGAACAGTTCAGCCATTTAATGATTTAATTTAACCAGCGGTTGCTGGCAAGATACGCCCACATTTTGTAAGACAGTTTGTATTAACTTCTCTAGAGTGAGTGAATGAATGAAATGGATTTTTAGCCTCTAGAGAGTGTCTACAAGATTTTTTAAACTAATCAAAGGCTTAACACTGACAGTAATTATCGGAAATAGTTGAAAATGAATAGGATTTCTTTGTCTCATGACCTTAAACACTGTGAAGAAGTAAGTCAATAAGATATTAACTTTAGCCTCAAAGTGATCAAATGCCTTAACTCTTGGCAGTAATTACCAGAAATCGTTGAAAATGAATAGGCTTCTTCGTCTCATGGCCTTAAAAGCTGTTGTGTATAAATTTAAAGTCAATTGGATATCAACTTTAGCCTCTACAGTGTCCACAAGATATTTCAAAGTGATTAAGGGCCATAGTTAAGGGAAATAGTTGAAAATAAATAGACTCCTTCGTCTCATGACCTTAACACTGTGTATAAATTTAAAATCAATTGGATATTAACTTTAGCCTCTAGAGCGTCAACAAGAAATTTCAAAGAGATTAAGGGCCACAACTGTGGCAGTAACTATCTGAAATCAAAAGGGTTCTTCGTCTCGTGACCTTAAATGCTGTGTATAAATTTAAAGTCAATCAGATATTAACTTTAGCCTCTAGAGCGTCCACAAGATTTTTCAAAGTGTTCAACGGCCTTAACTCTGACAGTAATTATCTGAAATCGCTGCAAATAAATTTAAAGTCAATCTGATTCTGATATTAACTTTAGCCTCTAGAGCGTTAACAATTGCTTGTGGATGCCGGACCGCTGGACGGTTAGCCACGACAATATACGACCCCATTTCAATGTGGGCGTATAATAACAAGTCAACCAGGCAAAAGCAAAAGATTAGTTAAAACCACTAGACTTAAATACATCATATAATCTTTTCTATTCCAATTGTTAAAGACACATTCAGTAAGTGCTAAATCTGTCCTTTGCAGGTCTTTCTTTAGGTTTCGATCAAATGTTATATAAACTTTTATTTAGACATTTATTCACAAAACAAGCCTATCATCATGTCCCTATAGAACATAGATCAAATGCCCGAGATTAAATGGATTTAACTATCTGCAAGATTTGAAAATTTAACAATAAAAATGGACAATGGAGGCGAAGTCTTGATTGTCGAGTACGGTTGCTACGATATTGAACATGTAACGCTACATCTTTAACCGGTCATAACTTCGCCAAGAATAATGTAATTTAAAAGCAATTTCAAAATATTTATTTTTCATTATCTATTTTGTGAACTATAAAAGCATGAACGTCCAACTCTTCTTAAAAATGTTACATAATGCATCTTTAACATTTGTTTAGTTTTAATAGATGAAAACAGTCTTGATATCTACTGTTATAGCTAGCATTGATAGTATTTTGTTTTAACCAGAACCTTTAACCATAAGACTGTCAACATTTGATTACTGTTTAGGGTCTTTATTTATAAAAACTTTAACTCAAATATTTTAATGCAGATTTTTTATGGATGGAGAGATAAAATCCTAGCACAGATTCTGGATCTTACATAGTGAAAGAATTCTTAAAACATTTTAGTTTACGTTTTGGTGAATCAGGTCCCTGCTATATCTCAAAATTAACAAAATTTAAGAATATCAAATTTCAAACATACAGCATGGACTGACATTAAAATAGAACCCCACAAATCAACTAAGATCTAATAAAAACCATGCATCATTTCTTTTTTTTTTTCTTTTTTAAAACAAAAAAGATGCTCTTTCCTTTTTAAGTCTTGACTCCACATATTCTTAGCAAATATTCAAAAAAGTATTTCAACGACATTTTCCCACAGATTCGGACATACTCTATAAAAATAATAAACTTATTCATTCATATACTATTAGAAAACACATTTCTTTTCATTTTACATCTGAGAGTCAGTTATTTCAATAAGTTAATCACTTTCATCGGTCCAATTAAAATACACAATTTCATGATGTATCTTTATAAAAAAGTAGCAGTTTGTTTTGGATCTTTATACAAAAGTACAATTTTGTTTTGGGGTTTAAAACAATAGTACAATTTTGTTTTGGGGTTTAAAACAATAGTACAATTTTGTTTTGGACCTTCATACAAAAAGTACAATATTTTTCTGTATCTTTATACAAAAGTACAATTAGATCTTTATACAGTTTTGTTTTAGAGCTGTATGCAAAAGTACAATATTTGTTTTGATTTTTATACAAAAGTACAATTTTGTTTTAGATCTTTATACAAAAGTACAATATTTTGTTGGCTGTGTGAACTTTCCAAATAAATATGAAGTGGTATGAGGTGTTTCCAGAAGAGTAATCTCCCCCTCCCTCATCCACAACTGGAGCAATATCAAATATTTTTGTTTCCCTTTGCCTATAAGGAATGAATTATTAAGTCTGTATTTCTATCACATGGACAATGTACATTTAATTCAGAAATGTACTTAAAGATTAAGTGATATTAATTATTTGAAATCTACATCTGATAAAATTGTTAGTTAAACTAGACAATACATATATACACGTTGACATGTCAACATTTGAGTAAATTGGTGACTGATTTATGAGTTACATTAAAGACAAAATGATCATGGAGGCATTGGAGGACCATATATAATATACTGTATATATATATATATATATATATATATATATATCATCAAAGCATGATAACTAAAATTTGACAATAGACCATATATAAGGTTATGTTTGATTTCAATAAATCCAACTGAATTTACTCTCATTTCATTCATTGGAAATCCCAGATCATACAAAGTTCAAGATGAGCAATTTGAATATTCAAGCATTAATTCTTGACGAATTCATTACAGGATAGTGGTGAAAGAAACATGGCTAAAGTTATGGGTGTGATAATAATCTTATAGATAAAGCGTAATTTGCCCTATAATATAAACATACTCTATACTATTATATATTTTATACCAGTATTTAAAATGAACAACATTCAAACAACCTAACAATGGCCATGCTCACTGCCAATTGGATGATTTAAAAAGCCATCTTACCCAAAATAATCCAGTCATATAGGTTCCATATTCCTAAAGCTATAGTAACAAGCATTCACTACCACTACTATCGATAATACTTAAAGATGATTCTCTTTTATTGATTGGTTTTCAAGTTAGCTTGACGATCAATCCAAATAATTGATAGTTCTAAAAGCTTTTTGGAAATGTCTAGTTCATATCATTTTGAGCTGTATTACAGAAATAATAAAAACTTAAATAAATTGGCAACTGTATTAAGATAAAGCGTCCAATTCACAAAGTCAAACAAGGAGCCACACTCACAGGAAGATAATTAATCAGGAACATCAGTGGTCAGTAAACTACTAATACTTGAAACCATTGCTTCACGAATATGGACAAATACTGAAGGACAGATGGGATTTTATATCAATCTTTGAAAGATATAATGTATGAAATGAGCTAGCCAATAGGTAGGTCATAAGTCTACTTTCTTTTGCACTACCAGTAATTATAGCACGGACAGACAGGAAGTTACATCATTCATTCAACTATTTTTCTTTTGTTCTTTAAACCAGTCGACAAACTCATCCAATAACACTGGCCCTGAAAATATAAATACAAAGGTTTCTAGTAGAACTTCTACAACAAAGATAGGTTGCCAGGCAACAAAACATATGGCCACAGCAGCTAAATCGTCCAAGCGTTCAACAAGGGCCATAACTTTAGATGTAATTAAAAGAAATTGCTGAAATTCTATAGGCTTCTTTGTTTTACTAATTTAAATGATGCATATAAATTTCAAGGGCCATATCTCCAGAAGAAATTAAAGGAAGTTATTGAAATTAAATAGGCTTCTTCATCTCATTAATGCAAACAACATATATCAATTTCAAAACAATCAGATGATAAATGTAGTCTGTAGAGTGTTCACAAGAAATTGTGGACGGACGGATGGGTGCGACAGCATTATTTCAATGTGGGCGTATAAAAATCACAAAGATCCTCAAATTTGTCAATCCAATCGAATCCAAACCTTTGATATTTGTGTTGTATTTTTTTTAATTAATGTGAGTACATTTAGCATAAATTAAGCTGTGAAAAATTTGATATAGTCTAAACAATGCAAATGACAATCATGACATCAGAACACAAGGTACAATTTTATGGATACACAATTACTGAGTTTAATACTAAGCGATGTTACAACGAGGATACTCTCGTCTTTATCAAGCAAATGACACAGATATGTCGGTCGGTCCTAGAATTTAACAACCACTTCCACCAAGGGTAATATCGTAGACAAGAACACAGATATGTGAATAGTAGACAAATATGTACAGAATATGCAACAAAAATAAAAAGAAATACAGTTATAACTTAAACACCTTTGATTAGGGGGCTATTTACAACTAAACCAACACAGGGGCAACTCAGTTAGCAGACGGCTGTCTCTCTAGACAGTCTACATTTCCTATTTGCTTCTTTGTATTCAGTTTTGTTTTTGTTTTTGTGTAGGATGGAACATGTGCCCTACATGTATTGAATACAGAAACATTTCTTGATTGATTTTAGAACATTTAGGTTTAGACTACTTTTTTAAACATTTCACCGATATGGTTACTTGTATAGTTGAATTTTACTACATATGCTTACATTCATATTTCGTGTAGCATATAGCAGATCATGACTCATGCTGGCATTGCACAATGGTTTCTTTGGGTTGTATTCCTGATTGTTTTCAAATCTGAGTGAAGTCTGTGTCACTACAGACCCGGGACTGTACAGCGTAGTGGACGCTTACGGCTAGCCCCTGGATCCATTCACTTTGTTTGAATTGTCTGTCTGTGTTTTCCGGAGTATGATGTCTTGTCCGTGTATTTGTTTTTGTGTAAATTTTGTGTGGTGCAGTCCCCCTGCACTTACTATTACAGGTATTAAAAGGGGTGTGGGGGAATCTTATTATTTATGATGATCAATGTATCAACACTATTAATGGGAAACTAATTAACCTGAGCCGGCCTGAGGCATAGATAAACAATGAGTGAACAAGAGTGATCTCTTATGCATGGAAAACCGTAAATACATTAATTCAATAAAATTGTACCTTGTGTTAATATGTTCAATTACTAAATGCTAATCAAAGAAGACATGGCATCAGAGTTTGAGAAGGACTAGAGATAATAAAGATGTAACTTACAGGCCCCATCTTCATCATAATTAGATAAATCTGCAGCCACAGAACGACTGAATTCTAAAATATTACACCACTGATCTTTATTTATTACTTTATATTTCGATTGCTGGAATATAGAAAATATAGTTTAGTCTTTTATCACATCAACATACCCCGAGTCCATATACACTGTAACTTGGGTATGATTTCATCTTGCATTAATTCCCTTCACATTTGTTCAATGTCAAATCTTTGATTGAAAATTCATGAAAAACGTAAAAAAATCATCCAATTTATATTATGTCCAGTTTAAAGCGGATCGTTTAAAGGAGCTAAATCTCTATTCTTTGGCAACTAGAAATGGGTCGGAACGCATATACTAAATGTATATAAACTGATTTACATTCAATCGTTTCTGTTTGTACTATAAGAATTTCTAATCAGTTACGTTCAGCGAAATATGCAAAGAGTGGCAATCTTTGGCATCTGGTTATTCCAATTTATACCAGTAGTATTCTCTTGTGGTGTGTGTTTAGCCTCTTTATCAAGACACTCATTACAAATGGCGCTCTAAAGCATTCTGGCACGCGATTTGTGTGCCAATCTTAAAATTTTCATTTTGTTTTAAATATTGGATATCAGAAGCCCATCTTTTCACAGTAAGATAACATCAATGTTGATTTAAATTGATCAATAAATTGCAATGTCAAAGATTGTAGATGATATCGAGTTAAAGACTTGCCTCCTTTAATTTTGATAACAAATGTCCAATTTAAAAACGTTTAATTTCTTGACCACTGTTTAATTAATTATTATACATTAATATTCAATGGGGTTGTTTATATTGTATTGAATGAATGAAAAAGAAAAATTAGGGATAAATACGCATGATTAAACAATACCCTGGTTACAGTGATACCATGGTACACATCCCTTCATTGTAAACAGGATCAGATCTCAGGGTAGGCATCACTCAACAGCCACAGATCCAGGGGTACACATCCCTTTCACTGTACACAGGGTGGATCCAGGGGTACACATACAATTGACAAGGTACACATCCCATTGACAGGGTACAAAGGGCAGCTCTAGGGCATATAATGTTTTGTTCAGATTAATGGAAACAAATTGAATTGGATTTAACATCGAATCAATGCAATCCCATAAAAGAAGGAGGAGAATTTTTCACAGGCTGTAGCATGCTCTTCCATCAAGTTTTTTGTTCCTTCAAATTGAAACTTTCCATGTTAGACCAGTAGTACCAGTATTAGTGTAAGTCTTACCTCTAAGAATTGATGGAAGGAACCATACAAGGACCAATGTTTACCGAGAGCTAGAGATAACATAGCTTTAGCCGTGTCTATATCCATACTTCTCTGATCTTTCTCCTTCAAAATAGAACAGTCATTGTTTAATACAACAAACATTTTGTTTATAATACAATCCAGAATTTTTTAAAGAATAAAAACAACTTGAGCTATTTTACTTATATAGACCTGGATCTATAAACTTTAATAACACACATTACTAGGGTTGCAAAGATACGCTAACCTCCCGATACGATACGTATCATGGTATGGACCTCATGATATGATACATATCGCGGTAATTTTTCTTTCCTAATTTACTTAAAAAATAAAAACAAGTACATGATATTCAATGTCGACATATCACTTTATTAGCCACAGCATTTTCAACTGGCGATTTTAATCCAAAATATTTCCATATCTTTGATTTATGGTTTGCTGGAGGCGAATATTTTATCACCGGAAGCCATCTTTCCTCCTTGTCACATGAACTACAGGGGGACATAACTCTGCATGATAGATGAATATCGGAAGAAAATGGACGGTTAAAAAAAATCTGTACTGTGTTTACTGAACTGCAGTATAGAATTTAAAGTACTGTGATTGAGAACCAAACTGTGGCATGTGTACCACTATCGTCTCAGGGTACATTGATGCAGCCCTACACATTACTGTATATTGTAATTAATGTGTAAGTGTGCGATAATGTTGTATAAACACTCTCAAAGTTGTTACTTGGACAACTCAAAGACACTATTAGGTTTTATAAACACTCAAGAATTTATAAACACTAGGAATTTATCAAGGAGTATAAACTTTGAATAGGTTTTTGTTTTAAAATGATTTGTGAAATAGTGTTGTAATAAACATAGTGAGTTTATCCAGAAACTCTGGAATTTAATGAGAATGTCAAATGATACCAGTACTTACTCTTGCGAAATCAAACGCATATCTGTAAATATTTTTAAAATGAACGGGATGATCGAGAAGTGTTTTGAGGTAGTCGAGTTTCTGTTGTAGTTTTTCTGTACTATCACATCTATAATAATAAATATAGGCACCAGAATTAATATTAATCTTTGAGAGGCATTCAGTAACTGGATAGAGCAATAATCTATAACACATACTTATAGAAAAACTATAACACATACTTCTTTATTTGGGTGATGTTTTGAAGAGTATTCTCAATGTTATCAAGCTATTGTTCCCTTTTTGTCTTGTGCATATTTCAACACTATGTATTAGATTTTAACAGGTGATTTGAATCAATTCACCTATTCGCTTTACCAGAGAGAATAAATATACAAAATGTGCACTTCAGCAAAACTGTCAGTTAATGAGAGAATTCTTGTATTGGGTTATAAATATAGAAATTATTATATGACGAGGGTGTATAGATAATAAAATCTTACTGAATATCCTTCATCCCCTTGGCCCATTCTTCAGCAGTAAAATATCCCATTCTATTGGCTTTTAATTTCCATGCTAATGACAACATAACAATCTGTAACACAACCATAGCCGTCTATATTGTTATACATATTTACTGGTTCAGTGAGTAGCTAAGGTGCTGGCTAGCTAGCCTAGAATGTTCGCGATTTTCCAGTGGGGTTTACCCTTGTCAGTGGTGCATGATGGAGAGCCTAAAAAGGACAGCTGTCTAGTCTTTCAGATGGGACAAATAAACGAGGTTCTGTGTACACATTGGCATGCATGTAAAAGATACATTGGCAGTTCTAATTCGATATAAGAGTAGGCCGTAGCGATCTTCACCACTGACAAGGGGAAACCAGGCCCAAAAATCTTGATGACCTTTCTTGATAAACACAGGGATCAAACACATCTTACTGAGTCACTGCGGCTCCTGTTAAATTTATGTTTAGCTGTGTTTTGATTTTTTGATCCATGTGTTTGATTTATGCAGAGTCAGGTTATGTTTAGTTTGCTACATTTCAATCAATTAATCGACACATTTTATGACAGTAGTTCAGGAAGGAATGCCTGGCAAGGAACAGCTTCCAGTCATTCGGATGGGGCGAAAAATTGAGGTCTGATTGACATACACATGAAAAAACATGACAGTTGGAATTTGTTGAAAAGCAGGTGAAGGACCCTAGCACTCTGCATGACATATGTCCATCTTTATCAGCCAATTAGTGACGAAAAGAATGACATTTAACCCATTTCATTTCAATAAACTTGTAAAAATTCAGTAATTCAAATAATAATGTATTCATATTTACATTTTCTGGTTCAACTCCAATATCTTCACAAAATTTCTCCATTCCTTCTGGACTAATTTCATCCTCATCTGGACCTGAAGACAAGTGTTGTTTATAAATAACTCTGGTTGGGTGCAACAATAACTTTTTTGACAGAGAGAAATGGTGTTTAACTAGATCATTTTGGGACTACCATGTAATTATGGCTAATATTTGTATTTCAGTAATTCACTTGCACATAGGATAGTGGTCTTTAGAAGTTGAAGGAAACATGAGAGAAAACCCACAAGGTTGGATAGGCGACCTTACTCCTTGTCATGTACAAGCAGGGAAAGTAAACCAAGCCACTTAATGAATGATGGATTTTATGATCTAAAGCACATGCGCAAGAATGTACAACCATTTGTTTGGTAAAATTTATTTTTATCAGAATGAGACAGATGACTGATTGCTATTTTTTTCAGTCCACTTCATTAGTGTTCTTGAAAATAGAGAATAACGTATCCTCTGTACATTATATCTACTCTATCAAATTTACTCTGTTTTATTTGAGTTAAGATTTGACTTTCATCCATAAAACTGAACTTCTGAATCTTCTAAAGAATGTCAGTTGTCCCCTCATCAGGACCAAGGATCAGAGATTAAAATAAAATGAAATGGGGTTTAACGTCCTACTGTTCTGCTCCTAAACTGGGCTAATGAAGACGGGCATACACCATATAGTGTGCTATGAGGGAAATTTTGCCCAGGCAGCGGTGCTACCGCCTACTCTTATATCGAATTCCAACTGCCAAGGGATCTTTTATGTGCACGCCAATATGTACCTGAGACCTCAGTTTTTTTGTACCATCCGAATGACTAGACAGCTGTCCTTGTCAGGCCCTTCGCAGAGATTTAAAGAACCTTTGTCGTCACACAAGGGGCCAAAGTGGCTAGATGTATATGATACTACAGGCGATGAGGCTAGAAGTGTATGATGCTGGCCTAACAACCAGAGGTTCTGGAGTTTGATCATGGCATTGGCTGAGAAAGTTCCTCTGGATTATCCAGCCAGATTCAGTTTGTCAGTAGCCCAAAGAAGATAAAGTATCTAGTTTTCCAGATGTAACATAAAACCGGGGTCCCACATATGCATTAGTAGGCACATAACTCATTGCAATTAAAATTGAAAGACGAGTGGTCAGAAACACTGTGGCCGGGTAAAATGTCTCTCATAGCACACCGAATGGCGTATGTCCATTTTCATTATCCCAGTCGGAGCAGAACAGTAGGATGTTAAACCCCAATACATTTCATTTACCTCTGCATTAAACATACATTATGCAAGAGCTATATCTGCCTATAGCAGGTCTTTCTTTAGGCCCGAAACGTTGTCTAAATTATTAATTAGACATTAATTAACTTATCCAGACCATAATCAACTCTTGATGCCATCGCTAGCCTGCGATATTTACTGGATTTAAATACATTTTTTGATGAATGATTTAACGTCAAAATGCATAATCAAGACATTGTTTTTTGTCAGACCAACTTTAGTAATTATGATCGAGACTAGGCCTAAAATTGAATCGCTAATATCTCGGTTCATAGTGAAGAAACTTGACTTGAAATTTTCAGCATATTCTCTTTCCGTCATCTATCTTTTAACTATTATAGCGAGAACTGTCAGCTCTTTATCTAATCTCCAATAATGCCCCTTTAACAAAACAAATACAGTCCTTACAGATTTAGAGAGTGACTTACTTGTATATTCGTGAAACCAAGCTTCACATCGTTTAGAACTGAATGAAGATGAACTGACTGGCTCTCTCTTGGACCTAAAAAACAAGATTACAAACAATATTTAAGATTTAATAAAAACGATATCTTAAATAAATCAAAATATTAATAAGGCATTGCAATACAATAATGATTATCATTAGCCCGCACACATTACATAATATATTACAAAGAGCTGACTTTACATAATATTCCCCCTACTCTATTCTTGTGACATCATAAACACTAGGATGACATCACAAAGAGCTGACAAAACAAAAATCAATCCTTGACTGATTGGATTTCATTTTAGAGATGTTTTTATTTTCTAATATTTCAGCTTGATTATTTTAAGCAAGTTTTTCATATTTTAGAACAATAATATTTCAAGGCATTTATTACTGTTTTATATGAACTCCTAAACTTGACACTTTGAATATTACATGTAACTTTTCAATAAGACAACAAACCAATGGTTTAAAATATCAGTGTAGAGTGCAAGGTGTATGGGTCATGTGGGGAGCCACGGCAGGGTCAAGGTTGAATCCTGATATCGGCGGAGAAAGTGTTTCATGATTTTCCAGCGTGGTTTACTATTGTCAGCAGTGCAGAAGAGTCTGGCATTAACGTACAGTGTCTAGTCAGACGTCTGGTACGAAAAACCGAAGCCCTGTGTTCTTGACTTTTGATTTAGAAATAACAGTAGGCCGTGGCACCACTGTCCAGCTCAAATTTCCCTTGTACATGTAGCACACTGTAGCAAGTGCCTGTCTTCATAAGCCCCCAGATTCTGCAGGCAAATTGGACGCAAAACTCTATTTAATATTATTTCCCTCTATATTATGTACTTAGTTATAGTTCACATAGGCTAATGGATTCAAGTTAAAAAAAATTATTTTCTATAGTCTCAAAACTCTATATTTAATCTTTGCTGTGGGATTTATAATTACAGATTACTGTTTTTATAATACAGTATCTTACTAATACTAGGCAAACTAACAATCAATGGAAATTTGGGAATAAATTCCATGAATATTTTGTACCTATGCTTCATTTCTTTACAAATAGATGTGATAAAGTCCCACAATATCACTCTATTAAAACAAACTTACACCCATTTAACCTGTGTCTCATGACCTTTAACCTATATAAACAATGACAAACAGTTTTCTACTTATATTTGACCTATTTATGAGTTGTGTTAATTATCACTCATATACCAGGAAAAGAGTGAAAATTATATACAAAAAAATCATTAACAGGTTTTTAAATTTTAAAGGATTTGACCTGAATACTAAAATTAACCAAGAAAAATACACTAAAGGTTTTTAAAAAATCCCAACTCCAGTTAAAATGATTTCAGGTCTAACTTGTAGATTTTGTATATGTATTTTTTAATGTAGCCCACACACAGTACAAGTGAACAGCTACTTTGGAATTTGTAAAAATCCATATAATTTAAATCCAACATTAATATAATTTTGGGATAAAGAAATGATAAAGGGTTACTAATCTGACTTACATTTTTAAATTTATAAAATAAACAAAATATTCAATTGTTGATAATGTCTGCCTTCAAGATTGACAATAAACATCCATATTATATACTGTCACTTGTCCCGGATTTAAATCACTATGTTACAACAGTGGTCCGATTCCAATATGTAACCAATATGCTATAGTACTAGTAATCCAGTTATATCTTCATTAGTCATGTAAGTAACTCAACAAAAATAAAATCCATTATAACACCTGATAACATCTCTCATTAGCTTACAATTTCTGTTGTATATGTACATATGTACTTTTAACATAGGCCTACAATACTGTAAGTCACCAGTGACTTTTTGTTCTTCAGGAACAATTAAAATGTTACCTTCTATTTCTTGGGTAAATTTTTAAAAAAAAATCAAACAAAAAATAACCCGCCACAAAAATTGGGTTGCTTTTCTCAAAAAGCACAGTTTAAATTTTTAAGCTTGGAAATATTTAAACAAAATAAACATCCACAATATTCTTTACTAATTCACACATTAAATTATTCGTGGTTATAATCAATCATTATCCGCTCATTAAAACCTAATACAACCATTAATAACCATAGGCTAATATAGCATAATCCACGTAAATGTACAGTATACACAAAACAATTCAATATAGCCACTTAATTATATAAATCCACTGATAATCATACACTAAGAAGTACTGGGTATACAACGTAATCCAGAGCAATATACATGAAAATTAGTCACTTATATAAACTTTAGAGTACAGTTATATTTCTGAACTCTTATGAAGGTAAATATCTGTAACACACACACACATATATACTGTAATCCACATTAGATCAGTTAAAGGTCAATCAAGAAAAAGAACAGTACATAATTAAAATAATCCTAATTCCTTTAATCCACCAACTACACACTTAAACAGGGTTTTTCTTTGGACCACTTAATAATAAGCTGTTGTAATCTATCCAAACAGTACTGGTACACAAATATACAACAATAACAAGAAAAACAGCTGGAATCTTAAATCTTAGGCCTTAGCCCACTTATGTAAAAGTCATGAGTAGGGATTCTATAAATAGACGGAGTAAATGTAGGTAAGTAAGATAACATAATATAGTACAGGTGATGATATTAAAACAAAGCCAAGTTTATCCTACAGATGTTATTTTTAACAGGTTATGCAACATGTAAGACTGGTTAATCAAAACTTAAGTGTAGTCTCTTTCACTTTCATGACTTTCTGTACGGTAGAGATCATTTGAATATTTGCCTTTACAAAATCAGAATTACGAAAAAATAGAAGAATTTTGCCAGAGCAGCGAAATTATTCTGCATTGATTGTTTTCATTCTACATGTACATACTATGCTTCACCATAATGGTGTTGTTTGGGGCCCATTGAATAATCTCACTAAAAAAAGAATTTTGCCAAAGCAGCACTATTATTCCATTCATGGCTTCATTTTTGCGAAAACTTAAGCTCTCATAAAGTGCGCTAAAAAATTATGATAAAAAAAAATCTATTTTTAAAGGGAAAATGTTTTGTCATATACGCTTCTAATCCATTATGTTTGTTTATAGTTATAGCAGAAACAGGGTTTCAATTATTTAGTTGCTAAAATATCATTAAAGTTAGGTTGCCAGGCAACTATACATACGCCCACAACAGCTAAGTTGTCTGGGCAGTCAACAAGGGCTGTCGCATATTTTTTTTTATCAGTAATGAGAACATTTACAACACATGTAATAAGCCATAAAGTAATTATCAGAAATCATTAGAATTTGTTTCGATTGTTTGTCTCATGACCTTAAACAGATTATATTAACTTTATGGGGAGAGAGAGAAATGGGGTTTAACATCCACTCAACACAAACTAGGTCATTTCGGGACTAACATATGGTTTAATTTTATTTCAATAATTCGCTTGCGCGTAGGGGTCTTTAGCAGTTAACTTTCTGGTCTAAATATGGTGTTAAAAGAAATATGTTTTGGTAAAGATGCTATTTTCGTAGCATACTGAAGTGCCAGTTTATCACGTCTGTATAAACTGTCCACTGGAAATGTATAGAATGCTCCTAAACTGATTTTAAGTCCCTGGTTGTGTATGGTGTCAAGCTCTATGATATAAGACTTGTGGACAGACCCATACACTATACACCCATAGTTGAGTTTTGATCTTATTAAATGTGGGCATATAAAAACAGAATATACATTTGCTTGTTTTGAGAAAGGTTTTCCCACAAACCCAAATTAGCTGGAAAGAATAATCCCTTTTTATTTAATGATAGTCTACACATTTTTGCACAATTTATCTTCAAGAATTTCTTAATCAACGTAATTTGTGAGACTTGTCACTGAGTACAATTCTAAACAAATTTTTGATTGGTTAAAACACCGGATTTAATTGACAGAACACCCAATGGCGAGGTCAATATTCTCAGCACTCAGTAAGGAAGCGATTATTTAGTTCTGTGGCTATTATTATGGCTCAAAGCAGTAACCGTATTTAATTCAATAACCAGGGTGTCATTCAGTTGTCAGGTTTAGTAATAGCAGATATCTTTATCAGGTGCCGCCGAATGAATTGATAGCTTTCGCAAAATTTTTGTAAGTGAGCTTAAAACGCCCTCGCAAAGTTTATGTTGAGTGCTTTTTTTCACGCTCACACTTTCTATAAAGATAGGTTGCCAGGCAACAAAACATACGCTCACAGCAGCTAAATTGTCTGAGCGGTCGACAAGATGGGGGGGCATTTACATAACAATTTCATACAGATCAGTTTGTAATTTTTGTCGTTTGGGGGGTAAAAAGGTTCTACCAACTGAAACAAGGGCCGGAACTCTGAAAGCAATTTACAGAAATTGTTGAAATTCGACAAACTTTTTTGTTTTACCAATTTAAATACCGGTAATGCATACAATCGGATGATAACTTTTGTCATTTGACTGTTCACACGGTCAACAAAGTAAAACAAGTACCATACTTCTTGAAGTAATTTACAGAAATTGCTGAAATTTAATATGATTCTTTGTTTCACTAATTTTAAAATAACGAAAAGTTTCACACAGATTGGATGGTAACTTTTGGCATTCGAGCGCTCACAAGGTTCAACTATTAAGTGAAACATAGGCCAAAACTCTAGAAGTAATTAATGGAAAATACTGAAATTAAATAGTGTTACTAATTTAAATGATGCTATATAAATTTCATACAGATTAGATGGTCACTTTTGGTGTTAGAGTGTTCACATGATTCAACAAAGTGAAATAAGGGCTATACTAGATATAATTAACAGAAACTGCTGAAATTCAATAGGCTTTTTTGATTTACTAATTTAAATATCAATAAATCAATCAATAATCTTATACAGATCAGATGATGATTTTGTCGTCAGAGCCTTCACAAAGTGAAACAAGGGCCATAACTCTAGACATAATGAACGGAAATTGCTGAAATTGGTTTCACTAATTCAAATTATGCATATAAATTTATAAAGTTTGTCATTAGAGCATTCACAAGAAGCAACAAAGTGAAACAAGGGCCATAACTCCAGAAGAAATTAACGGAAATTATTAAAGCTAAATAGGCTTCTTCACCCCACTAAGGTAAACAACATATATCAATTTCAAAACAATCAGATGATAAATGTAGTCTGTAGAGTGTTCATAGAAATTGTAGACGAAGGACGGACGGGTGGAGAGGGTCGATGGCAATATACAACCACATTTCCATGTGGGTGTATAAAAATGAAACCTTGTACATAAATGACTTGGGCATTAATTTTTTTTAATTTTGTATACCGGTACATACAAAGGAGCTTCATTAGAATGCATCCCCTATTATTAGACTAAGTGTATATAATGCTTGCTTTAATTACACAGGCTTGTCACTTCAATTTTGTTCTACACAGATATAACATGTATTTATTTTATGTGCATGTATTAATGTGTTACAAGTTACTACATTTAAATCGGAACATCTGCTGTATACACACCATTATTTATCTTATCCACTTCTTGCTTTATGAATTAAAATCTGTTTAAATAATGAAAACAAGACTACTGCTTTAAGAAACAAAAGCCCACAATGTAACAGCAACAAGTCATCCCTACACTCCATAGATATTGTTGAAAATATATAATAATATATGCTTTTTTTGTCACGGTAACAGTAGTAGACAAGTACAAATTAGCTGATTGTTGGTGATTTTAAACAGTTTTTACAAATTTTTAAAAAGATTTGATATTTAATGAATGTGAATAAAAATTAGTGCTAAATACACAGGAATAAAATTAAATGATGCCCAGGTTAGGGTGAGTGGAGTCCTTGTTATTTAACTTAAAGGAGCTAAACCACTAACTCAATATTTTCCATACTCGTATAAATTAAAAATATGAATTAGAATTCAATATAGTTCCATTTCAATCAATATTGGTGTGAAAATAAAGGGCTTCTCATGTGAATAAATGCAAAACATTAATAAAAATTAATGCAAAACATAAATTTAAAGAAAACTGGAAAATTGTCAATCCTTGGATGTAAATGTAGAAAATGTATTGTTCTAAACTATGCTTTTGTATCATGTAAAGAAGGATGTTGTAAGATGTTGTACAGGTACCAGGTAATTGTTTTATAATATGCCTACCTACCTGACAATTAAAGATACATTATGTAATATTTAGACAAAGAGCTGGTCATTCTTGCTAAAATTGCTCAAAAATACATAATGTAAAATGAAAATATTGAAAATTTCATTCAAATTACTTCATTCTGAGCCAATTTATCACTGTTAGTAGTTTTGACAAGATGTGTGCATTGTCGAAACTTAGCCTCACTTTCTCATTTTTAAATCAAATTTTTAAACGGCGAACCGTTCTAATCTAGTTAAAATCTTTTGTTTTTGATGCCATTAAGAATTGATTATGGTCTCGTTTTGTTAATAAATGTCTAATTAATACTTTATATAACATTTCAAGCCTAAAGAAAGACCTGCAAAAGGTAGATTTAGCTCTTGCATAATGTATGTTTAATATTGTTACATGTTGTCTTTTTTTATCACACAATTTTGGCATATAAAATATATCCCAGTTGGCGGAAAAAAAATATGAACATTTTTTTATACAACCAGCAGCTGCAAGGCAAGATATACCCACATTTTGCAAGAGATGAATAGAGAACAAGCTAACAAGAAAAGTGATTTTTTGGTACAATCAAGGGCCATAATTTAGGAAGTTACAACCCGATATGCATGAATATCGAAAAGAACCAAGATCTTTGGGTTATAAAGATATATTTCAAGTTTCATCAAAATCGGATCAAAATTGTGACTTTTAGAGGGTCCACAACCTTGATATACCATATATTTACACTATTTGCATACAAGGGGCGTCCATTTTGTCTGTCAACTCAGCCATCATTAGGGTATAACGGTGATATATTCAAACGTTTTCTTAAATTGTATAAAAATTGTGACGTCTAGAGGGACCACAAGCTAAAAGCGTGATTTTTCGTACAATCAAGGGCTATAATTCAGGAAGTTACGATCCGATATGCGTAATATCGAAAGGAACCTAGAGCTTTGGGTTATAAACATTTATTTTATTATTATTTTTGTGCGATTTATATAGCGCTTCATTACACATGAATATTTCTTAGCGCATTCACAACAAAACAGTTCAAAAACATTTTTGAAATAAGTATGTTTTTAAGCTCTGGATGGAAGAGGAGTCTCGAAGAGTTTTTGGAAGATCATTCCACATTTTAGCTGCTCTGACGGAGAAAGCATATTCACCAGAACGCTTATTATATTTGGGTGCGGTGTCAGAATAAATTGATTTAAACACATTCACAAGAGCTTTAAATTGAACCCTCGCTCGAACTCTAAGCCAATGGAGTTTCTGTAAAAGTGTAACTTAGCTGATATATGATCAAATTTTCGTGTTTTAGTTATAAGACGTGCAGCATTGTTTTGCGCTATTTGTAGTCTGTTTAAAGCTGTTTCTGGTGCTCTAATAGAAGAGAATTTGCATAGTCCATGTGCGATGTTACAAATGCTCTAACAACACTCTGGCAAGCATCAGTATTAAGATTAGAGCGTATTCTCGAAATAGCTCTCATTTGATGATGCATTTTCCGTATGATACTATTGATTTGGGGAACTGGGGACATAAATTTCAAGTTTCATCAAAATCAGATCAAAATTGTGGCCTCTGGAGGGTCCACAATCTTGTCATACCATTTGTTTATACTATTTGCGTACGAGGGGCGGTCATTTTGTCCGACAGTTTTGGTCTGATTTTCACGAAATTCGATCTCAACCAACTTTACGGTGTAACAGTGATATATTCGAAAGTTTTTTTTAAATCGGATAATAATTGTGACCTCTAATGGGACCACAAGCTAAAAACGTGGTTTTTCGTACAATCAGGGCACATAATTCAGGAAGTTATAGTCCGATATGTGTGAATATCGAAAGGAACCAAGATCTTTGGGTTATAAACATGCATTTCAAGTTTAATCAAAATCACTATCAGATGAAAATTGTGACCTCTAGTGTGTCCACAAGCTGAAAATGTAAGTTATCATACAATCAGGGTCCATAACTCATGAAGTTATGGTCTGATACATGCCAATATCGATAGGAACCAACATCTTTGGGAGATAGATCTATATTTCAAGTTTCGTCAAAATCGGATAAAAATTTTAACCTGTAGAGTGGCAACAAACAAATTGTGGACGGACACCAATATACATGTATGTCCACATGAAAATGTGGGCGTATAAAAATTATTACTGATTTTGGCTGAAGAAAATTGAAAGCCAAATTTAGGGATTTCCACAAGAATCCACATGGTATAAATATTGAAAACCTGGTAAATCATGATATGAAGAAAACTGCATTTTACATGAGGAATAAACTCTCCAGAACAAAAACAAAACTGACGAGAGCTTACGAAAAAATATTGGTGAGCAATTAAGCACTAACGGAAAACTAATGTTGGGCGAGTATGACAATTGGTTAAAATTCGCTTTATGTGAGCAACAGGCCATACAGTCGTTGTTTTGAGAATCATAGACAAAATTATGTCGCCCCATGGCAGGAACATTGACAATGCAACAAAGATGCCTTTTGCAATCTTTGACATTATTGTAGAGGGCCAAGTAGGTTTCCAATTTATTTATGGTGACTGTGTTGTTTTTGCAATGCTTATCATAAAACCAGAACTTCATTGAACCAATGCAGGAAATGCAATTTGATTACAAGTTTGAGCCAAATATTGGAAATGTACTTAAACAATGTCCATGACTGCCAGATAAATGTATGAAACATATTGAAAATTCACAGGCAAGGAAAATAAAGAAAATCTGTGAGGTTTGGCAAGCATCAATATCGATACTCCTCGACACCCAATCAGACCTTAACATTCACAGCACACTCAGACACCTATTCTACCAGAACAAATATATCAAAAAGAGAGGGATAAATCGGGTTTAATGTCCACTCGACAAATACTAGGTCATTTGAGGACTAACATGTGGTTCAATTTTATTTCAATAATTCACTTGCTGTGGGAGGGAACTGGAGGCACTGGAGAAAACTCACACCACTTGACTTAATGACAGACCTTATGACCTAACGCACATGCATTAGACCATTTGGCTACCCAATCCCTCAATAACAAAAAGACTTACCAGTTTGTGACTCGAGCTCTTTTGGCACGTGTATCGTCAGATGATGGTGATCTTGGTCGTCTTCTAGTCGGCATGGTTACACAGTTCAGATCACTATCAGGAACATAAACTCCAGAATCTTGATCAATATGACCTTCACCCAAGGTCTGAAACAAAGTTAGCATAAGGTGTATGTAAATATCTAGTCCACAATCTCTTCTGAGACAAACAAGGTAATTAGTCCAAGCAGCAATTTTGACCGGACGGTGGTGCAACCGCCTACTCGTATTTCGATTAACCTCTAAAGGGAAATCTGGAATTCATTTTTTTTATCCCACACAAATGACTAGAAATGAAAAGGGGTTTAACGTCCTACTGTTCTGCTCCCACTGGAAATGGGTTATTGAAGATGGGCATACGCCTTGCAGTGTGTGATATGAGGGAAATTTTGCAGACAGTGGCGCTACGGCCTAGTTTTATATCGACTTTCATTGACAAGGGATCTTTTACGACTAGACAGTTGTTTTTGTCAGATTCTCTATCCTGCATTACTGACAAGGGGAAAATTTTGATGGACTTTTTCGGGAGCGAACCCGCGACCTCCAGGTTAGCGAACCAGTGCCTTACTTACTTACTCACCATTGTTACCCTCAAAGGACTAGATGCTGTTCCTTGCAAATTTGATCATAGTTATGTCATGGTGTTGTTACAATAGAACAGTAAAACAGAACATCGTAACTGTAAACTATAACACATACTATTTATTTTGGTCTGTGTCAACGTTATCAAAAAAAATAGTAGCTGTTTACCATTTAAGTATATGTTATAGTTTATTGCTCTACACAGTTACTAAATGTCCCTAAAAGATTATTATTGTAACTCTATTACAGTTCTATCAAGGTATTTTTTCAACACAACAGCACAAAAGTTAAATCTGTTTCAGCAATCCCTAAATTCTTTGCCTTTTATTCTTTTATGTAATGGGAGCATAAATTTATGAAAATTTTTGTAATTTTTGTACGGTTTGTCTTATCAGTTTTGTTTGTGTGTAGTGCATTCCTCCAGCACTCATATTAATTTCACGCCATAAGCCCTAACATAGAGTCATTCCATATCAAGTGGACCAATTTTGGGGATGTTAGGGAAATGGCCCCCTTAAAAAAATCTGGAAAACATGTTAAAGTACATGGTCTAAAACTAACAATTATCAATTTTCAGCTTCCTAAGTCCAATATTGGCGGAGATATCATCATTTGAAAAAAGGGTTTCCAATTGATATTAAAAATTTTCTTATTTCTGTTAGGTTTTCGGCTCCGTGGTTTATATACTACTTAAGTGTCTAGAACCCCTAACTTTGCAATATGATAGAACTGCAAATGTAGATTATGATTTTTTGATAGAATTTGGGGTAGGTGGTAGCCCTACTGTAAGGGGAAAAAGATAAGCCATTGTTGTGTTTAGAGATTTAAAAATTGCTGTACATGTATATACTCCCAGATGCTGTAATTTCAATATGAAATTGAATATAGAACCATATGATGCTATATATCCCAAAGACAGTAGGCCTCAAAGTTGGTTTACCGTCAAAATCTCATGAAAAGGCCTAATTTCGGTTGCCATATGGTTTCCCCGTCAAAATCTGGTGAAAATGCCTAATTTCGGTTGCATTTTGGACATGTGGGACAAGTAGCAAAATCTTAAAAAGGAAATGAAACTTCTGTTAATCTTCTACATCATATCAAAAACCCAAAGTTGGCCAGTGTTCGTTTATATTTTCAATCTTAATCCAAAGTTTGTAAATGTGTTTTTGCCAATTTGGCCTTTTCATGATCATTGTAAAAAAGGGTTCTAAATCCATGTAGGTTAGACCTACCAAATCCACCATTCTAGATGAATTTTGTACATAGATCACAATTAGAAAATCAGTTCGGATGTTGGGTGTAGCAGTGAGCTTTAATTTCAATCTTCAAAATGTAACTTTTCATTATTACAGGTACAATGGAGGAAAATTAATGAAAAATTTGGTTTTCAAGACCAGTTATTAATTACTACTCAATGATGCAATGTAGTCAAGTTTTCCAATTAGGTTAACTTTCTAGTGGTCCACTTGACATGGAATGCCGACATATGGATAGACACTGTCAACACCAATAAATTTGATCCCATTTAATGTGGGTGTATAATAAAATGAGAGATAATTCAATCATTCTGATCATTCTACTTACCAATGTATTAAACCGGTCATGCAGAAAACCTGTTGCTTGCTCTTGATCCAGTCTGACCAATCAGAGACAAATATCCTCATTTCATTTTTAATAATAGGTCTGTACAATTTATTTTACGTTCAAATACCTGAAAATGCATTAAATACTCTGTTAATTCCATAGACATTAATTATACGGCGAATTCTATAGGCCAAACTATTTAGGAATGCATCCTATTTCTAGAATATCTAACACCATTCCTCATTTAGGTTGTGAGTTCATGTATTGTCGTCCGCAGCGTAGAATATTGTACTTTGACATGTACATGTACTGAAAATGAACTAGAACGCGGACAATGATTCATTAATGGAGTAAGCTAATAATGTAGCACAACCCACAATACAGTCCTCCCACGTTTAATATTAATAATGGCAAAATCTGTTCATTAAATGTGGGTGCAAATATACTGTTTCATGCAAAGTTTCCCAACTAAACTAGGCCTATTATTCTAATGACATTCCATGATTTCATAAGCCAGACCTGCTCTGTCCAACAAAAATACAAATTTCATTGAGGAAGGGCCTGGAATATATTGAGTTGACATTTCCCTGATGTGCTATTTCCAGCACTGCATTCTGGATCTCTTTGAGAAGCAAAATGAAAACTGTCTAGACCTAGCCTACTCTAAGATTATTTGGATTCCGGCCGAACCGGAGTCGCAGAGCCGTCCTGACCCGAGATCTCGGGAGAAAGTTTTATTGTCGTTGAAACAAGTTTCTAACTTTGTTCCCCACGAAAGAGAATATTTGCCTGGATTTCTGTGAAAATAATAAGTGCTAAACCATCACTACACCCTCGGCATATAAATCTTGCAGTACATTTTCATATTAAATAAATATTTACTTATTTAGTAAAAATAAAATAAGGACGGAATTTCCATTAAAATCCGACCTTAGAAACGTGCTGAACCGGAAGTTCTGACAGCGCAAGTCTTCTTGTCAAATTTGTAAACAAAGAGGAAATGAAATCTATGTAAAAATATTACAAATATTTAGTCATTTAATTTAACATTCGATTAAGCGTTGGCATTAAACGCTAAAAATTCTAAAATAAATCATATCATTACACCAAACATTAACTTACAGTACATAAGAAATATTTGGGAAACAAAACGAAAGTAATCTTCTAGGCAAGAACCGGATACGAAAGTTTTTTGTTAATCTTTTATCCATTGGCTGTTTACTTACGACTAGTAAACACCTTCTACACTGTTCCGTACGGGATTGGATGATCAAAAACCAATCGGAAAAGACGTAAGAAAGTTGTTGTAGTTGCAAGCATTCCTGATATTGACGGTCTTGCAGGAGGTGGTATTTTTATTAACATTGGAAATTATTGTGTAAATCCCAATTGTTTCTAAGACATTGGACCATTGGTATATTTTGGCTTTATTCTTATCAGAGAACATATCTTCAATGTTAAAAAAACTCAACGGGTTGGGGTTTTATTCCAATAATAAACATTTCGGATGGCACGAAAAACTGAGGACCCGTCACCCGTGTTTTATACTATTATAGTAGGCCTACTGTAGGGCCTAATATACTAGCTTAGGTTACATTCATTGGATGGCTTGCACGTAAAAGATCCCCTGACAGTTGGAATTCGATATAATAAGAGTACCGGTAGGCCATAGTTCAGCTGCCCGATCAAAGTTTCCCACAAAGCACACTGTATGGGGTATGCCATCTTCTGCATTAGCCCAGTTGGAGCAGAAGAGGACGTTAAACCCCATATCATTTCATTTTTATAATATTTTCCAATAAACATGTTGTGAATTAAGGACAGTAATCAGTAATATGCCCCTACTCAGACTACTGAGTTGTCTGTTGAGAAAACGAGTGTTTTGTGTAGGCCTACGTTGCCAAATGCAACCTGTATTGTGAGTGTGTGCAATGCTAATGTGTGACAAATCTGTTCAAATCTGAAATCAATGAATTCACAATTATGTAAATGGATATGGGCCTTGAAGAATCTCTCTTCCCACTCGGTTGACATGTAATTTAATTAAAGTAGCTAAGTCTCTAACTCAATATCATCCAAAATCTTCAACATTGAAAACACGATTTATTTGTCAAATTAAATCAACATTCATGTTGTGATCTTACCGGAAAAAGATGGGCTTTTGATATCCAATATTTAAGACAAAATAAACATTTTACCATTGGTACACGAATCGTGTACCATAATGCGCTTCAGCCCCAGTTGTATCAAGAGACTCGAGGGACGAGGCTAGACACATTGCACCAAATCAAACGGCATACGTAGACTGGAATAACCAGATGCTAGTAATTTGCACTCGCTTGAGACTGCTGGCTTATTTCGCCGAACATAACTAATTTGAAATTGGAGTAAAAACGGAAACCATTGAATGTAAATCAGTTTATATACATTCATACTACAGTATTATATGTGTTGCGACCCACTTTTGTCAATTTCTAGATACCAAATGTTAGCGATTTAGCTCCTTTAAGTATTGCCTTGTTTTGTATTGCTCGGATGGTATGGAAACTGAGGTTCACCCATATGGTATGCATGTAAATCAGCTCTTGACAGTTGGAATCTGATGTGTGTTAACAAAGACGCTGCAGTTCAGTCATACTGGTGTTATTCCCATATTAAACTGTATTGTAACAATCACTGAAGTTTGCTTCGATCCGTCAACATTTTACTGTATTTCATTCCTTTTCTTTTGTATTATAATGACATTGATTTTTTCTCTTTTTCAGATAATTATGGCTGTATTGTAATTTGACGGCTACGAAAATGCCGGGAGACTCGAGAAAACAGTTTGTTTTAACGACAGCAGCAAATTATTTCACTGTTCCATTAAATGACACATCTCTAGAGAATTTACAAAATTCCTCGGCTCTCAACAGTTTTCTTGATGACGGAAATGTTTCTGTTTTATCTGTGAAAAAAGATGCGAAAGGTGGTCAGAGTATCAGTTTATCAAATAAGGTACGCAGCTCGATTATCGGTGTGGTCCCTTTGTCAGTAGTGCAGGATAGAAGGTCTGGCAAAGGTATGACATATAGTCGTTCATATTCCAACGTATGGTATAACTACGTTGTAAGCCTGTCATTTTACGCAGAGGATGATTAATCTTTACCTTCCACAGATTCGATTCTTGGACCTTTTTTGTATTAACGATGCATTGGCAAAAAATACTAATAATTAGCTTTTTGTGTCCGAGGAGTTCACAAGTTCGCCCACTAGCATAAGTAACACCTTTTCAATATGTTTTTCTGTGTTAATTCAAAATAAAAAAATATATATGTAACGGAACAATTCTCAATGAATCCTGCACGGTGTATTAGGCTTGACCTGTTTACGCTACGCTTCTGTTATGTCTGTCTCCATTTTCCAGTGACTACAAAGACCGCGTTTGCTGGTTACGTCCCCTGGCTATCATGTCCTTTAACCCCAAGGTCAATTTCATGGTTTATTTGAATGGCCAAACGAACTATTTCAGGAGGATAATATAACCCGGCTGGTTTTTAATGCTAGTTTTAAAACAATTTAGTCTTATTTCCTGTCACGGGCAATAGAGAATGTACTTCATAAATCCCTATAGACAGGCTTTGATCCGTATAAATAATGCAAACTGTCTCTTGTACACACACACACTCCTCACGCCTTCACAACAAATTTGCATTGTTAACGAGTGTCAATTGAAGTGAATCTGACGGTATTAATGTCATAATAAATAACAGAAGAATATTGTGGAAATAAATTTATTCAAATAAATCGACATTTCTATGATAAATAGGCCTAATGATAATGTTAGAGAAATTTATGTTTCTATCAGAAATACTAATGTTATTTCTGTAATTTTTGATTAACAAAATGGCGTTAAAAAATTCCTGATGCATCAATGCGAGAATCGATGTTTGCGTCCGATGCATCAATGCGTAAATTTTACTTGATATCAGCACTAGTGTTGGGTGATAAAGTGGTCTAATGCATGAGCTTCAGTTTAGATACCAAGCTCTGTCATTGAGTCAAATGGCATGGTTTAGATCCCAAGCTCTGTCAATGAGTCAAGTGGCATGGTTTAGATCATTAGTTCTGTCATTGTGTCAAATGGCATGGTTTAGATCCCAAGCTTTGTCATTGAGTCAAATCACATGATTTAGATCATATGTTCTGTCATTGAGTCCAGTGGCATGGTTTAGATCATAAGTTCTGTCATTGAGTCAAGTGGCATGGTTTAGATCCCAAGCTCTGTCATTGAGTTAAGTGACATGGTTTAGATCCCAAACTCTTTCATTGAGTCAAGTGGCATGAGTTGGATCCCAAACTCTTTCAATGAGTCAAGTGGCTTGGTTTAGATCATAAGTTCTGTCATTGTGTCCAGTAGCATGGTTTAGATCCCAAGCTTGTACATGGTTTAGATTCCAAGCTTCTACATGGTTTCTCTAGTTTCCTCACACTGCTTTAGACCCCTGTACATGTATGCACAAGCAAATTATAGGAATAACAATTAACATTGTACCATGTTAGTAGACCCCAAATGATGTGAAGTAGAGGGTCAGCCCATTTCTCCCACAGATTTTTGCCACAACATGTACATTGTACCAAACATGACAAACACAGAGATAACTTTAGAACTGCTCCAATAATATCATAATAGATTCTCTTGGAAACCAAACAAGATAAGTTTGTGATTGGCAGTTTTGATGTCTTGGTTTGCCCAGATATTAAATATCACTGACAATCAATCCCTAAAAATAATTGTTAAAAACACTCTTTATTAAGTTTGATTAATTATTATCAACACTCTTCATTCAATTTGATTAATTATTATCTAGAATGATGTGAGCTGATATGGCTGGTTAGAACCATTTCTAATTGCATTGACATGCGGGACTCAATGAAACTGTTATTATGTTCAAAGTTAAAACGACTATAGCTGTTTCAGTTATAATTAAAGGTACATTATGGGAGATTAGATAAAGAGCTGGCAGTTCTCACTATAATAGTTAAAAACTAGATACAGTAAAGGCAATTTGCTGAAAATATCACTCAAATTGATCCACTATGAACCAAGAATTAAACGATTGAAATTTTCGGCCTAGCCTCCATCATCATTACTAAAGTCGGTACGATAAAAAAACATAGTGTTGATTATTCATTTCATGATTAAATCATGAATGAAAGTTGAGCAGCAAATCGGATCATAATCCAATAAATATCACAGGCTAGCGTTGCATCGAGAGTTGATTATGGTCTGGATAAGTTAATTAATGTCTAATTAATAATTTAGATAACTTTTCGGACCTAAAGAATTACCTGCAATAGGCAGATTTAGCTCTTGCATAACGTTTGTTTAATCGATTAACACTTTTGAAAGTTTGTTTATTTTATTGTATTTTATTTAAGGTTGAATCTGGTGATGACAAAGAGAATGCCATTGTCTTCTTTAAAACGAAACCAGATGTATTGAATCCTGATAATATACATCAGAATGTTATCGTATCATCTATGATAGAAAGTCCTTTAAACACTCTGTATCACGCCGTCCAGAAATTATACTCACCCTTACTGTTAGAAGATGCTAGGTGGAGTCGTGGTCTCGATCCTAAACTACAGAGTTTATTGAGTGAGTTGGAGGCCGGATTGGGTAGCACTATTCGTCGTAAGGATCCCTCCTTCCGTGGAAAAGCTGGAGATGAAGATAATCTTGGAAGTAAGTATGAAAAATCTGCAAGAGAAGGAATGTTCTGAAGTGTCTTATTTACGAATAAAAGACTTCCAATTTAATCCTAGAAAATAGTTCATTTTGGATGAGATTGTTGCTGGCTCACCAACCAGGATGTCCAAGGTTTTGACCCAAAGAAAGTTCCTTGAGATTATTCAATCTGGTGTCCCCTTGTTAGCAGTGCAGGTCAGATTGGATGAAAGATCCCCTGACTGTTGGGAATCCCCCTGACAGTGTTAGTCGTGCAGGACAGATTGGATGAAAGATCCCCCTGACTGTTGGGAATCCCCCTGTTAGTGGTGCAGGACAAATTGGATGAAAGATCCCCTGACTGTTGGGGATCGAAATAAGAATAGGTTGTAAGTGCCACTGACGAGGAAATGTGCTGGAAAATCCCGGGGAACTTCCTCCGCCAACAAGATCAAACCCTGGATCTTCTAGTTACTAAGTCAGTGCCTTTACCACTGACCCCTGTAGTTCCCTTTAACAGTTTATTCTGATAGATGTGTAACAATATACTGACCTATTGTTAAAACATCCAAAACTCAAATGATATGTACATATTTCAGATATCCTTTCACCTATGGATGAGTTTAATTATTGGTCAGATCAAGCTCGAAGTGGATCACGACAAGATGACAAAGAAAGAGCTCAGAACTTTTTGGATTTATTTAAGCCTATCTGTAAAGATTACGGAGGTTTGGATTCAATGCCGTTTCAAGATGTGATGGAGTTAGTTGAGATTACCCAGGATACCTTGGATGATGTATGGAAACAAGGAGATCACGATCCACCGTATCCTGAAAATAGAATGAAGCATCTCATGGATATTATTGGTATGATTTTAAACTATATATTCTAACTGTTTTATATCTTTATGCGATCAAAGTTTGGTGATGGGGTTGGGTAGTCAAATAGGTTAACGTGTGTGGCTGTGTGCTTCAGATCATCAGTTCTTTCATTTAGTCATTTCATCATTCCACAGTTGTACATAACAAGGATTACGAATGAATGAAATGGAGTTTTATGGCGTGTCAAACTGGGCTACATTTCTACAGGTCCTTTATTTCCTCCCACTGCTGGAGGGTTGGATGGCCGAATGGTTATTGCGTGTGCGTTGGATCATAAGGTCTGTCATTGAGTCAGTTGGTGTGGTTTCGATTCTCCGCTTGTACACGACAAGGACTAGGGTCACCTACCCATCCTTATGGGTTTTCTCCGGGTCATCCGATTTCCTCCTACTGCTACAGACCCTTACGCGCAAGAGAATTATTGAAATAAAATTGAACCATATATATTAGTCCCGAGATGACCTAGTTTATGTCGAGTGGACGTTAAAATCCATTTCTCTTTCTCTCTCTCTTCCCACGGTTAAAGACCGTTTCGTGCAATCACAGTTGTTGAAATGAAATTTAAACCTCATCATGTTAAAGGGCTATTAAGCCCGAAACGCGTCTTGTACTAGATTACATCCTTTTAAAACTATACAGTGTTTGATCGAGTTTGTTCCTGGGGATTTTTTATATTTTTATGTTAAAGAACCCTTGACAGTTGAAATTCAATGAATTAATAGTGTAAGGCAGTAATTCCACTGTCTTAAACAAAATTTCCCTTGTAACACACTGCATGGCATAAACACCTTTTCATTATACTGGTTGATGCAGAAAAGTAGGATTTTAAACCCCATTTCATTTGTATTAAAGTGGTATTATGGAAGATTAGATAAAGAGCTGACAGTTCTCGCTCTAATACATGTAGTTAAAAAATAAATAAGACAATGTAACGGGAATATGCTGAAAATTTCCAGTCAAATTACATCACTTTGAGTTGAGAAATATTCATTTTAATAAGACTTTAGGCTCAATTGTCATTGTTACCATTGTTGCGATAATAAACAAAGTCTCAATTATCCATTATCCATTTTTACAGTTAATCATGATTACGGCCATTAAACTGCAGATCGAATGAAAATTTGACCCATTAGATGGCATCGAGTGTTGATTATTGTCTTGTCATGTTAATAAATGTCTAATTAATAGTTTATATAACATTTCAGGCCTGCAAAAAGACCAGCAATAGGCAAATTAAGCTCTTACATAATGTATGGTTATAAGTTAATGACAGTTGTTTTTTTTAACCAAACTGTATTATTGTTATAATGACCTAGACATGACATATCATTTACTTTAGGCGGAAGTTTGGCGCGGTATGTTCAGAAGAAATTATCTGAAGAAGATTTGTGGTTTGGACAATTTACTCCAGTTAGAGAATCTCTACGTTCAGGTTTGACTATCTGTGAACGCTGGGTAGCCGTCTGTCAAACACTGACCATGCAGTTCTGGAGAAGATATGCTGCACATTCCTGGAAGGGGGAGAAGGCTGTTCCAGAGAGTATAAAACAACTTGGTGATAGATTGGAGGAGGTAAGTTCATGTCAACATGGCTCACAACAGCATCTATACTGAAGCCATTGTATATAATTCCTTTTATTAAGTAGAATGCTTTATTAACCCTTATCACTTCAGATTTAAAATTTGACTACCCCAGTTCCTTAAAAAAATTAGAGGAAAGATATATTAAAGATACATTATGGGAGATTCGATAACGAGTTGGAAGTTCTCACTATAATAGTTAAAAACTAGATAATGTACAGGCAATTTACTGAAAATTTCATTCAAATTGATCCACTATGAACCGAGAACAAAGAGGTTGAAATTTCCGCCTAGCCTTGATCATCATTACTAAAGTCAGTACGATAAACAGCATAGTCTCGATTATCCATTTAATCGTTAAATCGTGAAGGAAAGTTATGTAGTAAATCGGCTCATAATCCACTAAAGATAGCAGGCTAGCGATGCCATCTAGAGTTGATTATGGTCTGGATAGGTTAATTAATGTCTAATTAATAATTTAGATAACATTTCAGGCCTAAAGAAAGTCCTGTAATAGACAGATTTAGCTCTTGCATAGTGTATGTTTAATTATGGTACGGTATATCCCTGAACAGACCGACAGAGTTTTAAATTGCTGTTTCTTAGAATGCCGCAAATCATCTGGGAAATGTGAATAGTTTTCTGTATTGTCAGACCATTGTGCGTGCGTCACAGGTGTGCATGGGACAGTGTGGTCTGGGACAGTCTAAGGAGCTCTAAAGGGTTAAAGTCTTTGATAATAATTTAAGGGATTTTGAATCCCCTGTAAAGCTTTTGTGTGTTGTGAAAATTGAATCTTTAGATGGAATACCAGTCAATTCCATTCAGTATTTACAAAGTAATGATCAACCGAAATTTCGCAACATTCATCAGTCTTGATCTGCAGACGACATAGACAAAACTTCAATAAATTTTAACTTTATGTTTTTTAATCAAAATCTAACTTTAGAATAGAAAAGAGGATAGTAATGTTATAACTTTTCACCAGATGAATATGTGAACTTTCTGTAAAAAATACAATTTTCAGTGATCTTTGTGGTGTTTTCAGATATCTCGAAATATTGGTTGTTGGAGAAAGATACATAGTCATGTTATTTTTCAAGGGGGTGTGACTATTCTTGCTTTCTGGATAGTTTCATTATTCTTTTATATGAACCCTGAACTAGATGATTTTATTTATATATTTCAGATTTTGTCACTGAGAACTGTTCATGAACATGTACTACGTCTGCTGTCGTCGTCTGAACAGAAAGATTTACAGACAACAGACGCCTTTACCCCATTTCTTGGTCTCAACCCCTTACAGTACAATCCTTACACCATGCCCCTGTGGAATGCTGCAGTTGCTCAGTATGAACGAGCCATGGGACCTGCAGAACAGAAAGTAGCTGCCAAATTAAGGGGTCAATTCCGTGGGCTAGAAGGTTATCCTCAACAGGTATTAACCCTTTTGATTTTTTTCTGATATTTTATTGTCAGACCTAGAAGACAGCAAGGCTGATTGGTCTAATACACGTGTCTCGTCTGTCATTGTGTCAAATGGTTTTGATCACAAGCTGATTAAAAGGAGTAAAGTCAAGTCTAACCTTCACGCTGCTAAACACCCTCACTCTCTGGTGAATTAATGAAATAAAATTGTACCATACATTAGTCTAGAAATTACATTTTTTTTCCATGATATTTTTATACTATACTGTCTAGGATAATGATGATAATCCATCTATTTTCAAACTTTAATTGCAGTTATTACGAGAGTTCCAGAGATACAAAGCTTTGATTAAAAGACCAACCATCAGAAAAGAGATGGCCTCCGAAAGGTACAGTCATGCTAAAGAATTACGTAAATTTCTTATTTCACAGTTCGGTACAAGTTGTAAACTTGAAGTTCCTAATTAGTCGTTAACCCAAAAAGGCCTGAATAGCTAGTCTTCAACTAAAAATGGGCTAAAAAGTCATCAACCAAAAATGGCCTCAATAGTCTTAGCCAAAAATGGCCACAATAGTCTTAAAGTTCCAGAAAGAAAAGAAATCACAGAGCTTTGGAATTAACCAGCTTTGTTCTCTTAAAAAAATCAATAAAAGTTATCTTTACATTAAGTTTTGTAGCCCATTTTCAAAACTTCCTAAAACTACTGCTTCCTATTCCTCCTCAAACTGACTGAGTCACAGAACTAGTAAACAGTCCTTAAAATAGTTCAAAGCTATTCATGTTAATCATGCCATTTAAGGTGCTAGAGGGACCAGTAGCTTTAGGTGACAAAAATGTTAAATGTTTAGAATAAGGAAATGTTTTATTGTTAATTTTAGGGAGACCTTATTAGGTCAACTAACAGTTTATGTTCGACAGGTTGGTGAAGATTTTAATTCTCGTACTGGGGGACGTGGTGGTAAATCTGTTCCTAAAGGAAAGAATCTACCAGATGTCGTTAATAACATTATCTTCGTAAGACAGCTTGAAGCTAAGGTAAGTTGGAAGCTTGTGTTCTTGTGTTTTACTAGTTTTAGTGGGATTGTCATGTTTTTTTGCGGGATCCACAGTGGCACTGTTAGTATGGCACTGACTCACTAAACTAACGACCAGAAGGTCCAGGATTCAATCCCAATGTTGACCTACAAAGTTACTCAAGGTTTTTTTCCAGCTTGCTTTCCCTTTGTTGGTGTGGTATAGGACAGATGGCCTAAGGAAAACCATCTAGTCATTTGGATGGGATGAAAAAAAACAGGGCCTTTGCATACACTTGGCAGCACATTATAGATTTCTCTCCACAGTTGAAAATTGAATAAGAAAAGACCCCAGCACAGCTGTCGGGGCAAAACTACCCTGACCTGATAACAGGCTGCATGGTGTCTTCATAAGGCTGGTTAGTGCTGGAAAGTAGGATGTCAAACCCAGTTTTATTTCTTGTATTTGGGACCTTTGTATTTCTCATTATAAAAATATTTTGTGGTGGATATTTCAAACATGGTTATTTTTAATGCCTATGATTTGAATATTTTTTTATAATTTCATGTCCATAGATTGAAGAAACTTCAGTTGTTGCAGAGGCCTTGCTTGGTGACCTGACAGGATTTCAGAAATTTCAGAAAAATGCACAAGATTTACGAGACGAACTTCAGAACTGGAGACGAGAACAATTTGATGAGTGGTCTCGAGAAATGCAGTCATTGATTGAAGACACAAGACAACCAATCAGGTAAGACAAAGATAAATTATGAATATTAATTAGTCTCTATGCATGCATCCTGCCCCGTGCGCAATAGGATACCTGTTTCTGACTCTCATCCTGTACAGTCAATAAAGTATCAAGGTTTTTATCATAAACTGGTTGTATGTTTCATAACAGGATGGACTCAATGAGTTTTGTCTAGTGAAATTTGGTCTGGGTCTCACAAAGTTTATGTAGTGTTTGATCAGGTTTTCATAATGGCCCTATTGCTGATCTATTCAGGAATTAAAGATTTCTTCATGATTCTGTATGTTTTGATTTTGAAAGGTGTTATATTTAGCTTAGTAGAGACTAGTGAGAGATGTTATATTTAGCTTAGAGACTAATGAAACATGTTATATTTAGCTTAGAGACTAATGAAAGATGTTATATATTTAGCTTAGAGATTGTTATATTTAGCTTGGAGATTATAAAGAAAGATGTTATTGTTATTGTATGTTATTCAGCTTGGAGACTAATGGTAGATTGATGGAATTGAATACAGTTGACGGGAAACTACGAGTTAATTATAGCGAGCGTCTAGTGACCTTATTACGAGAAGTTAGACAACTCTCAGCGATTGGTTTCGCCGTTCCGTCCAAGATTCAACATGTAGCTAACGTCGGTCAAAAGTTTTACAGGCACGGTGTAGTTCTAAAACAGGTAATATTCAATTGTTTAAATTAATTAATGATGGTTGACAGAAAAGTTGTCAGCTGTCTTAAAGCGGAAATTGCAAATTTTCTAAGAAAGTCAAAACGTAATTATTTCTATGTCTTTTGCTCAATAGGTTGTCAACTCACAATTATACGATCAGGTGTCATTCTCACACTTAAGATTCATTTACACAGGAAATAATAACACAATTACCTCCCACATACCTCCCTTGTTTTCTATTCTCCACTGTGGAGTAGTGATATTCAAACGTTTGAAAATGAAGAGGAAAATGATATTTTTGCCAATTTCTCAGCTGGCAATAGTGAATTATAGGATTAATAGGATTATTCTTTAACAAGGTAGGACTGTTTATGGATACCATCTATTTTCAGGCTTTATTTTAATAAATTTTAAAAATATAACTTAAAAATTTGCAATTTCCGCTTTAAAATACTTGTAGTTCTAAAGTCACAATGAATATATAAATGAAATAGGGTTTAACGCCTGCTTTTCTACAATAACAGGGCTAAAGAAAACGTCCTAAATATAAACTTCCTGAAGTAGCTCACTAATCAATAATAAACAGATCAGTTTTGAACTGTTAACAAATGATTCCATTCTCAATGAAAATGATGTATATTTTTGTGAGTAGGTCCTTATCCTTATGTAATATTCCAAGACATTAACTTTCCAGCCTATTTCCCCTTGTCAGTTGTCTAGGACCGAGGGCTTGGCAAGGATAAAGCATCTTGGATAGAAAACTGAGGTCCACACTTTTACTCATTGGCATACATGTAAAAGAAGCATTTGGCAAACAGAATTCGAAGAAGAGTAGGTGAAAACTCCACTGTTCAGGCACAATTTTCTCATAGAAAACTGCCTGTCTTATTGGCCTGGTTGGTGCAGAAAATTAGAATGTTAAACCCCATCTCATTTCATTTGTAAGATAGCAATTTCTAAATAATTTGTAAGATATTAATTTTTAAGAATTTCTAAGATATTAATTAAGTAATTTGTAAGATAGTAATTTGTAAGTAATTTGTAAGATAGTAATTTGTAAGTAATTTCTAAGATATTAATTTGTAAGTAATTTCTAAGATATTAATTTGTAAGAATTTCTAAGATATTAATTTGTAAGATGTTTGTGAGATGTTACTTTCTAAAATATTAATTTCTAAGATATTGATTTTTTGTTGTATATTACAGGTTGCCCATTTTTATAATACAATAGATCAGCAGATGATAGCCAGTCAACAAGCTATGATGTTAGATTCAGCCATGGCATTCGAAAAACTGGTCAAAAATCCTAAATCTGGTAATGTTTGATTTTAATTAACATTTGAATTTATAATTTTACAATTATTTATCAATATGACAAAAAAAAACCATTGGTGAATTCTAAAGTATGTGCTTTAATTTACCTTAAAGATATATTAAAACTGGACATGTTAATTTGGCTTGTGATCCTTACCAAGTTATTTAATCTGAATGTCTCAAAGACCAAATCTGTGGATTGAACAGAGGTAGACCTGAAAAACATGCTTTTAGGTTGTTAGACACTACTTGACATTTTGAACTTTGCCGGAGATGTATTAAAAGTTTGAAAAAAAACAGACAGAGAGAGAGAGAAATCTGTGCCAGACAAAATGACGGTTGCCAGAGAGATTGTGCCTGACAAGGTCTGTGACATTTGCCAGTCTTGTAGAGGTAATACTTTAATTTGTTTTTGTATGTTAATTATAGGTAGTAAATCTAAAGGTGAAGGTGGACAGGTAACCTGGGACAATCCAGAAGAATTAGAACATTATATTAAAAAACTACAGGCTGCAGCTGATAGATTGACTACAGAAAATAGACGCTTGAGAAAATCACATTTCGTAGTTTCTGACAAGGTATATACACAAGTTATAACAGATTCTATATATTTCTGTGTGTTGTATGATTATGTAGAAATACATCAGTGATAGCTTCCTTTAATGTTGGCAACTGTATCTAAATTTGTAGATCTCTCAATAACCTGTATCGTTAAAGCTGTCATATTTTGCCCTAATTTCTTTCACATTCATTCAATAACTAATCTTTGTTTGAAAATTTGTAAAAATTTCCCAACCTCTGTTAAAAATAATGTGCCAATTAATTATTATACATTAAAAATCAGTTGGGTCGTTTATTTGTGAACTGTGGTCAGGAAATTAGACACTTGTAAATTGAATGCTTGGTATAATAATTAAACAGTCAGCGTTAAACTTGACAAAATAATGAGTAAAGATTTATTATTACAGGTTCAACTGTTAATGAGTATAGATTTATTATTACAGATTCAACTGTTAATGAGTGTAGATTTATTATTACAGATTCAACTGTTAATAAGTATACGTTTACAATTATTGGTAATGAGTGTAGATTTATTATTACAGATTCAACTGTTAATAAGTATAGAATATTATTATAGGTTCAACTGTTAATGAGTATACGTTTATAATTATAGGTTCAACTGTTAATGAGTATAGATTTATTACGTCATCAGATCAAATGGAAAGATGGGTTGATGGAAATACGACAATTAATGGCTAATCTTGTTCAACAGGTCAGTACACGTGTAGAGTGCCAAAACATGCTATGAGAGAGTAGAAAGTCTTAATCATGGTAACATTCTGTGGAATAAGTGTTCATTCTTTTATTTTACATCGGCACTTGAGCATGAAAATTTGCTGTCTGAAATCTTATTAGGGAAATTGATGCTAAAAGGGTGATGAGAAATAAAGTTATATACTCAATGAGTCTAATTATTGTATATAGCATTCCCTGAAATAAGTATTATTTCTTTTATTTTACATCTACACTCAAACATGAAAATCTGATGCCTGGAATAACTTAGGTGAAATTGGTGGAAATATTGCTGTCTACCCTAGATAGACATCCCCAGCTCTAGGTGATGCATAAAATGGAATGAAATAACCATTTGCCTGCAGTTTCTAGCTTTGTTGATACAGATTTGGGTTTTTTTGCAGAAAAGTAGGATGTCAAACCCAATTTAATATACTGATCTTGGATTACTTATAGTTTATATTTATGTATATGTTTAAGGGTTTTGTGGCCGATAATATGAGACCGTGGAAGTTACACTGGGACCATCAGTTATATAAAGCTTTAGAACATCAGTATCAGATGGGACTAGAGGCTTTAAACGAAAACTTACCCGAAATAACAGTTGAATTAACTTACAGGTTAGTTGTAATTTTAGTATCTTAAGATTCTTTATCTTGGTTTTTGTCAAATATAGGAAAGTTGTTTATTGATATATAATCCAACAGTTATGTGATATTCAATCCATCTGAGTAACATAGCTGTTAATTGATATGCAGTGTATTGATGTTTTGTAATCTAGCAGTTTATTAATATGTAATCTTGTGGATTATTGAGTTAAAGACTTAGCTACTTTAATATGTAATTCAACTGTTTATTAATATGTAATCTTATTGTTTATTAATATGTAATCCAACCATTTATTAATATGTAATCTTATTGTTTATTAATATGTAATCCAACCATTTATTAATATATAATCCAGCTGTTTATTGATATATGTAATCCAACTGTTTATTGATATGTATCATGCTGTTTATTGATAATTTCTTGACCTCAATAAGGTGACTGTAATATTTAATCCATACAATTTATTTTTGTTAGACAACAACGACTACAATTCCGTCCACCTTTTGAAGAGGTCAAGGCCAAATATTATCGAGAGATGAGAAAGTTTATTTCTATTCCAAATCATTTCCGTGGAGTGACAGAGACGACAGGAAGTGTGATATATACGGCCATTATAGATCGTAACGCGGACGGTTTTATCACCTGTTATAAGAAAGCTAACGAACTCTTTCAACGTCTCTGGGCTGTCATGGGTAAATTTAAGGTAAGATAAATATCTTATTGATTAGTGACTGAATTCACCGACTGGTGGTAACGTTCACCCCAAGTTCAATGGCTGGTGGTGACTTTTCTCCCCTGGGTGGAGGGGGAGGGTTGGCCGAATAGTCTAATGCACGCCTTTTAGCTAATAAGGTCTGGCATTGAGTCAAGTGCGTGGTTTCAAACCCACACATGTACGTGACAAGGAATAGGGTCGACTGCCTAAGCCTTGTGTGTTTTATATGGGTCCTACATGTTCCTCCCACTGCTAAAGACCCATGCGCATAAGATTTACCATATGTAAGTCTTTACCATCTACCAAATAAGTTTAGCTTCTGTATTCCAAATCCAAATGATAATTCCACTTAAATCCAATTGTGAGATCCTACCCTATTAATTTCAAATGACAGTATAAATATACATATTGAGATACAAAGCCACCTTATTATCAAAAGTACAGAAACCTTTCTTCTAAGAATAGTGTATATTACCTGTGCATTCAATAAACTCTTTGAAAATTACCACAAAATTGGAATTGGTATTGTTTTATGTTCTGGGTACCTATCTTGTTCAACGGTGTGGTTCCTCATTGTCAATGGTGAAGGGCGGAGGGCCTAGCAAGTGATAATGTATAGTCGTTCAGATGGAATGATAAACTGCTGAAGTACTGTGTACACATTGACATGCATAATATATAAGAACCCTCATAGCACACTGTATGGTGTATGCCCGTCTTCATTAGCCCAGTCAGAGCAGAACAGAAGGATGTTTTGCAGAGCAGTAGGACGTAAATTCCATTTATTTCATTTATTCTTGGTACTAAATGATTTAAGTAAACAGTGAATTTAATTCTGTTTTTTTTTTTCAGGATTGGGTTATACTTGGATCATTAGATTTGGACAGATTTGTGGAAGAACATCTAACAGAACTTTCTGATTGGGAGAAGAATTTTAAAGCTTTGAAAGTTCGAGGTAGAGATGCAGAAAAGCTACCAAGGTAGATGATTTATTTTAACTAAAAAACAATGTATACCTATACACAGACTACATATACGTCAACTTAAACACATGGACAAAATTCACTACTTAAAGTGTATTTATGAAACTTGATGCCTGCTTGAAAAGATTTGTCCAAAAATACGGAAAATGTTTAAATACTAAACAGAAAAAAATATTTCGCTACGTAGTGTTTCCCACAGTACTGCCTCTTTTCTTTTCTCATGATTGTTAGTACCAGTTTATAAATAATTCAGGGATTATTCTTCCGCTATTTGTTGACGGAAATGATCATTTTAGTTGTATTTACAATATGTCAGGCACTAATGAACTGTTGTGCACTGGACATATATTAGTGCAGGAAGACCGCACTACATGCAAACAGAACCAATAAGATAAACTTGCAGACAAAACAAACTGTGCAGTGAAGGGTTCCGTGTGCCAGCCGTAAGCCTACTATCTCGGACCTGCAATGATACAGGTGTCACTCAGAGTGAAAAACAAAACAATGAAAGCTGTAATAGAAATAAAGTGAACAGTCTTGCTTGACTGTGGTTGTCTCCTGAATGGTGGTAAAATATTGTTAAAAACACTGTGCCAGACACGAAAGAAACTGTGCTTGGCAAAGCCAGAATTTGTGCATTCCAATGTATGTGACATGTGCTTTATTTTCGTGCTTGGTGCAAAAGTTGATTAATGTCAAAAAATATTATTTTATTTTTTCTACAGTCAAATTAAAGTTGATTGTATAACTGTGAACACTACGCCTGTGAAAGCTGTGATTGACGACCATATACAGAGATTGTTTGATGCCTTACTTAACTCCTTACGACGTTCTATAACATCAGAAGTTGGTTCCATCGACACATTCCTGACTACTGCCATGGAAACGCTGTCTAAACGACCACAGACAGTGGAAGAGATCGGAGAGGCTAACGCTAAACACGCTGAATTTAATAAAACTAAAACAGAAGTAAGTTTGATTCCTGTAGATAAACCTTTCAATTTATGTCAATTCTTTATGTGGAGTAGTCAGTCAGGTAATTACGAAGGATGGAGCTCTCCAACTTCCAGAATTGTTTATAAGGAGTTGAATCAACTAAGAGACTACTATCTTGTCATTTTAGTCGTTGGCTTAGAAAGTTGCCAATGGTCGTTCAGATCGGACGAAAAACCGATCTCCTGTGTTCAGTTTAACGTTCATGTAAAAGAAACTTTGCCAAATGGAATTAACTGTTAATGGTACATTATTTTATTGTTTTATTTATAGATCCAGCCGTTATTTAATAAAGCTGAATCTAAGAATAAACTATTACGATCTGTAGCCGGGGGCGGTGTGGAGACGATTAGTACATTACAGGGACGCTGGGATAAATTTGAACTCATGATGGAAAGTCATCAACTGATGGTGAAAGAACAGGTAAGTCTCTTTTTATAATCATTTGATTAAAATCTCATTGGGTCATTTTAGTACAATTGGAATGCCTTGTAAATGACAATATTTCGAGAGCTGAATGTCAAATAGTAATATCAGTCTTACAATTGTTCAGGGGGTTGTGTGGCCGAATGGTTAACGTCTTTCATTGAGTCAAGTGGCATGGTTTCGATTCCCTGCTTGTACATGACAAATAGAAGGGTCGCCTGTCCAACCTTGTTGGTCTTCTCTGGGTCCTATGATTTCCTTCCACTGCTAAAGATCCCTATGCCCAACCGAATTAATGAAATAAAATTGAACCATATGTTAGTCCCAAAATGACCTAGTTTGTGTCGAGTGGACTTTGCTCACATAATGTTTTAAATCTGATAGAATCCAAGCCAGGAAATTATTTAGCATTGGTATTTTGATTTTGTTTTCTTAAATAAGTGTTGAATATTTATGGATTAAACATACATTATGCAAGAGCTAAATCTGCCTATTGCAAGTGTTATTTAGGCTTCAGATGTTATAGAAATTATTAATTAGACCTTTATTTATACGACAAGCCCAAAATCAACTTTGTAGACCCACGGATGGCTTGGATACATCAATAAATGGCAGACCAAGCTAACGTTTACCATTAGTAGCTGATGGCATTACCATTGAGCATGTTACTTGATAATTGAGAAATGTGGGTGGAGTTATCGTCTGTCAATCAAACGATCGCCTATTCTCATAGATGGTGCAGACACAATTTATGTCTATTTCTAGTCCAAACTATTATAGCAAGAATGGCCTACTCTTTATAAAACTCTTAACTAATGTATCTTTAATTCCTGAGTGATTTGATATTTTAGCAAAAATGCAAATGTCACATCGAGTCTTTAACATATGAATTATTGACCATGCGTATACAACTTAATTTACTGTATATATATATGGTGTAGGTGGAAGTGATGAAGAGTAATGTAGATTCAAGGGTTAAAACATACCACCAGGATGTGGAGAA